TACCGATCTTTACCGATATTGATGAGAAAGACTGATCTTCTCGCAGCTGCACATATTTCTCGTTTTGCAAAATTCTGGAAGTAAAGGCAATATCATCTACTCGCTCTCGAACCGAAACATCCGATGAGTTCTCGAAAGATCCATCCGACTAAGAACATGAGCAGAATGGCCAAGGATCCGATGAAAACCGTGACCGTGTAGGAGATATTGATAGTTCGCGTGAAAGTGATTCACTACAAGAAGCATAGGATATAGACTGACAATGATGCGCGACAATGGAAAATATCTTGCGGAAGACACTCGCTGCTCTGCTCTTGGAGTGTTCTGAGTAGGTATTTCCAACAGATAAAGTCGTCTACTGCGGAACTTCGCAGAGGACGGTAGAGGACCCATCTGACTTCAGAACAACTACAAGTACAGATTATATTGATATGATCCATTCCTATAATCATTGGAATTTGAGTTATCAACTTCACGCCACTAGCTCGCCTAGCGCTCCGATTGAGGTCGCTCCTTCTCCTTCATCACCACCAGCCACAGCAAAAACTAGCATGATCATCGAGAATAATCACAATTCTGGACCACAATAATGATCACAATGACGACCACCCCCGATGGACCAGAATAGGTTTGATCATGGCAACCAAGAACAATCTCACTCCTATGATTGGATTCCGATTCACTATTATGCTGTCACTTCGCCGCCCTTCTCTCGTCGTGTGACGAAGATTCTAATACTCTCTCTACACCTCCGAGTAGAAGAAATAACTTCTACTTTTGTTGTCAAAACAACTAAAGACTATACCTCTATACAAGTACAACTCTTACTGTTACTCTACCGCATTAGTTTTACTAGGTAGCTGGTGGCTGCTCTTGTTTTTTTCCCCGATTTAGTATCCCAAGTTTTTTGTTTTTCATCTATGCACAAAGATCAATATTGACAACGTCACATTGCAACTATCAACATACTATTTCTCACGACATTTGTTTGGCCCCTCTCACCTCCACCCCCTCCTCCTCTAGAAGTTGTAGAGACATAAGCTAACAATAGATCTTGATAGATTACGTTTTCACTGTCGCCATGCTTTCTTTATCTTCTGCGAACTGCTAGTAGTGTGCCCAATGTACCTCGTGGGGCTTCGGCTTAAGCGTAAGTGCTTTAGTTACATACTAAGAAGATAAAAAAAGGTACGAGGACGAGGCCAGATTACCTACCGTAGTTATGTCGTTGCTTGATGCAGCATGTCTACGCCGGTGCATGCGCATGAGCATCTTGCTTGAGAAAATATATACAATAATAAATTCCAGAAACAAATGGAAGTAGTGCGCTACGAGCTACAGTTTCTATTACGATTAGCAAGATTCTGCTCATGGGTGCAACTATGTTTATGACTTTAGAAGCATTGAATAAGACTTCGCATTTTATATTCTATCATGTCTTCATCCTGCTGATGTCTCCATCGTCGTGATGCGTTTGCTCGTCTTGGTGTGTTCATCTTTAAGATGCGTTCACCGTGATCATGCATAGTTTATCATCTTGGTAACATAATCAACTTCGAGCTCCACATCCTTCCAATCCTCAAAGAAAATCAGTCACGATGTGGCTGATTTTTCCGTCTATTTTGGACCAGCTGAAGAGATCGTCTCATGATGATGACGATAAAAACGAAAACCTACAACGAGAAGAAGTGATAAACTCAAGAAATCGACTCCGTGGCCCAAGGAAATTTTCGCCTTTTCTTCGAAAAAGATTTATCAGAACAAGAAACATCGGGGGATCAAGTAAAAGTATTTTCAATAGACGAAGCTTGCCTAATTATATCATGTTGACAAGAGCAAGACATCATCTACAACTACTCTACCAGTTCCAGTGTCCCGTTTTATAATATAACTCAGTACAAGTAGTACAACTACTCTCATTTCATACAACTCCATGGCCATCTCGTATTTTTTTTCAATACTTCTGCTAGCACTTTGAATGCATCCACTGACTTGTACTTCAACATACAACATCTTGCTTCTAGAAGTTGCGCATCTTCTCCTCACAAGAACATTCTAGAGCTCTGAGTAACTACAACTACTTAGAATAGCCGAGCTATATTGCGTAGAGACTCCTCTCTACATCTATTTTTCAACAGTCACGACGATTGCAGGGGCCACTACTCACTGGTTAGGTTGCGGATCCATGACTGGAGAATCATCACCGGCACGTGATGAAACATCTACTTCACTGGAGATCCACCGCGTTCATCTATAAGTCTATTCTGAGGGACCACTTCCAGGAGCAGCGGGGGCAACATTCTTGTATCGACTTCAACAGCACGGCCCTTCCCCTTTTTAACTTATTACTACAGCAAACAATGTTTGTCAGACATCACATAATTATCTTAGCTTGTACTCAGCAACAGCATGACGATCATTCATGACTATCATTCACGACGATCAGTCATACCCACCCCTTGATGGCTATCATCCTGCTTCCCTTCGTGATTGAATGATTAGTCATGGTCTTCGTCCCGCCTCATTATAATGACCCAATGACAGCATGAAGATATTTTTGAAATGATTAGATCGAAGCGGACGAATGTCAAAAGAGTGATAGTATCCGTTAGAGCTGCTGCCTCTGCACTGTTGTCTTTGGATGTGCAGCAGGACAATCATCCTTCGCGTCGTCCCAATGATTTACCGACAATATCATTATCATGCTTCAATGCGGATGCTGCGCAGGAGATATCCATAAGCTCAGATACGCACACGTAGCCATAGTATGCCTGGACGTATAAATGATTCGCCATCTACGTCTTTGTCTCTGTCTCTGTGGTCTCTCTTTTTATTGGCGAAGCAATATCATTACCACAACCTTGGTGAGTCTTCATGGTCATGCAATACCAATAACTAAATATAATTATAAATATATAGATACATGATTAGCATTACTCTTTCACGACTTTCTTCTATGTATAATTTTTATGAACATAATTGCACAACAACGAACAACACATGACAGATTGATATATAACATTACTCGATTTTTGATCATAAATGGCGATAATAGGCAGAGTATACTAAGTACGTGGAAAGAAAGTGTATTCTTGGAGGTGTCAATGCCAGTGGTGATCGTGATAATATTCTGTAGGTATTACCTTCAACATGCGTGTAGCCGTGATCTTTGAATTTATGGCGGTGGCCGTCTTTTTCATTCTCAGTATTTCACATTCAAGAACATATCCGAAATTCAATTACTTTTTTCATACCTTCCAGCAAATTTTTTTTTCTAGGTGGGAAGGGGAACACGAATTAATACATTTAACTAATTAGTAATAGTAGTACAGACTCAGACTAACTAGTTAGATATTACATATATCCCAGGGCTCAGGGCTACGGCACCCCCCCCCCCGAACGCAAAGGGGGACCGGTAGCCCCGGGCCCCTTTTGAAGGCGTGTGCCGGTGGTGGAAGGCTTCCAAAGGGGTGCAAGGGGCCGCCCTCAGTCCCTTCCAGCTGCCTGCGTGTGCCCTAGAAAGTGCCGAGGCCGACACGCTTCGCCGTCGCCGCAGTGCGCCGGGTGTGGAAGGCCTCCAAAGGCGGCAAAAGGCGCAAGGCTGGACCCCCTGAGCCGTGTGGACTGCACCCCCCGGGTCCTTGGTCATCCGCCTGCTCGCTCTTGAGACCGTGGCCGCCTTCGGCGGCCTTCTCCACCAGAGACCTCCAGCCTGGCAGGGTCAGCAGAGGCCAGGAGGTCGCTGAAGAACATGCAGAGACACGCCAGGGACGCCCGCGCCCAATTTCGACGCCTTCCACCACTAGAATCCCCGAAAATCAGAGCGGAGAAGAGCGCGCAAGCGCCACCACAGGGCCACCCACAGGGGGGGCGGGGGGGGGCCGTGCAGCCCCGAATCCTATAATATATACCTCTTCCCTTCTGCTTCAAAAAACAACACTAAGACTAAGCAGTTTCAAATTAAGTAAATTGATGCACCCCTATGGGCAACTACATCATCAGAGTCACCATTATTTTTTACAATGAAAAAGCTGCGCACTCTTTGTTTATCGTGGTTACCTCATCTTCTATCCCTTCTCTTTTCAGAGGAATATATCCATCCCAGCAGTTCTTTACTTGGTGCTCACCCTTTGGCATGTAGCACCGACATGCGCTAGATCAAAATAGAGCCTACTGCCCCCTTCCCTACAACTAGACAAAAACACAGGACCTAGCAGCTGCACAAGCTTCAGTGGCCGCTCTCTTCGTCGCCTTTCGCAGTCGCCGCGCGTTCCTGCTCGGCCGCGGCGTGGTGGCTTTGCTCCTCCGATCGCGCTTGTTCTTCTTCCTTATTTGGCGAACCCATGATGCGCTCGTGAGTCGCGGTTGCAAGGATTTTTCCAGACGGCCCGCTCATCTGTCTTGGAAAATTTTTGACCAAAACGTCCTTCGGGTAGCCATTGGGCGTGTAGCAAAAGTTCCTGCCGTTGGGGCCAATGAGTTAGAGCCAGCGGTAACATTACAGCGACACTCTCTACCAATTCCAATCGTCATAGTTTAGTAGTTACAACTACTAAGTAACTAGTTATGCTTATCCTTATGATCGTGAGTATGAGTGCAAAGAAGTTTGCAGTCGTAGCCCCTGACTATTGTATCTTGAAGAGGAGTAGTAGCAGGCCGTGAGTTGTGTAGACGTGACGCATTCAGCACTCTCATCTCTCGTAGTATCGGTCAAGAGAAAAGCAAAGAGTAAGACGAAGAGGAAAGCTAACTACTAGATTAAAAACTAAATCCTCTAGATGCTTCAGCCCTCAGTGCCCCACCCCCCTCGTCCCAGGTTCGTGGTGGAGGACACTGTGGGGGGTGGGTGCTCGCACTGACTCTAGACAACCACTCCAGGCCGAGACGAGACCAAAGGCACCGGCTCACCAAGCCAAGATCTAGAGCCACCCCCAAACACGTCCAGCATCTATCTCGAGTGGGCTCAGGTCAGCAAGCTACGCACTTTGGCCACTTGTCAGCGGTCTTGGCCTTGTTGGGGTTGAGTGGGCTCAGGTCAAGAATCGAGAGCAAGCCAGCCACCTCAAGTTAGTGGGTCGCCGTGCTTAATCGTCGAGCCGCTCGCTGTCTGTGCCTGTGGGCGTGGGCCACTCATAGTCATTTGTCAGCCACTAGATAACACAAGCGCGCTGGCGGTCGGCTGTAGGTGTAGCGGCTTACAAAAGACAGCAGCACGTCTTTGAATGCTTGAAAGAAATCACTCAAGACACCGCGGTAGCGTTGCGGGGTGTGCTCCTTCTTGTCAGGGTGCGGCTAGGCGCTAAGGGTCGACGTTGGAGACCGCCGCGCCCTAAGACTACGAGCGGCGGAATATCTTGGCGAAAAGTTGCCGGGGCTCACGCGCGCCGCTTTCGGTTTGCGCCTGTCCACTTGTTCCCGCGGCTTCTGCTAAGCCTCTGAGAGCAGAGCTGACAGAACCATCACGCGACCAGCTCGACCACGCACTGCCCCGAGAGCATCACGAGCCAACGAGCCAACCTTCGACGCAACCTACCACCCGACAAATTCCCAAGCAAATGTGCACGCACATCCTAAAAGGCTGCACAAGCTTGGAGAGAGAAGCAGAAAGCAAGACCACAAATAGCACGCAGAGACACATGACGCGGTACCTTGTGCGTCCCCGCTGCAATTTGTCGCGGGCTTGTTCCTGTCAGTCCATTTGCGCGCCACCTTCGAAAAAACATGGAAGACAAAAGTAAGCCGCAGAACCTTCGCGGAATGTTTGCACAAAGTTTCCAAGTCTTGACCATGTCAGGCTTACATCTTCACGCGCTTATCTTTTCGAAAGAGTTCCGCGAACGTTTCACACCACACTCTTCAAAGATTTCGCGAACTTTTCGCGACGGTTATGCTCCTTCCTAAAAAGCCAGAAGAGACGAGAAGCCGCCTGGGATGACACTGCTGAGCAGCATTTTCCCTGTCCTCAGCCCCAGCCCCCTGCGCTTCAAGAGGCTCACACAAGCGCGCCACGGCTGCACCCAAGGCGGCGCCGATGCCAGCGGCGTGCGACCGGTCCAAAACGAACCGGCCCCGAGCCCGAGGCTGCTACCAACGACGAAACTCAGAACAAACGAAAAGCAGCCGCAAGCCCTTCGGCGCCTGGTTTGGCCTCTCAAGCAAAAAGACAACGAAGACCAGCCCGGTCAAATTTTTCGCGAAGAATTCACGCACATGCTTCACATCGTCGCGGCGGTCTCTTAGAGTGGTCCGCAGAGAGTTCAGCGGCGTACACCTCTCTACCCCGTAGGCGTAGCGACTGCGTCACGCCGCTACCTCTTCTAGCCCTATCTCTCTAACTACTTAGTTGCGCTAAGTGGCAGCGACAGCGCGGCGCGGCACCTTGTTCCCCTTGCCGTGGGCACCTTTCTGCGCCCTTGCCGCCAACAGGCGGGCCGCTCGGCTCTGTTTCGTGGCGTTCAGGGTCCAGCTGGCTGGCTGCGCCCCGCGTTTTTTGCCTTGGGTTCTACTCCGGCCGGCGCCTCTTTGCTCTCCGCTGTCTTGCCAGCCTCCCGCCCACGCCGCTCCTTTCGGCACTTCCTGCGCCTCTTCCCTTGTCTCGTTCTCCACTCTCGTCTTCTCTTCCCTTCCCTCGCTCGTTCCTCGGCTGCCCTTGCCTTCTCTTCTCCCTGCAAAAATAGCCCCCCGCGGCGCGCGCAGCGCGGCGCCCGTGGTACTCATTAATTATCTTCTATTACTTAATTTGAGAGGTAGATGTTGACGGACAAAAAAGATTAAAATGGTTTTGAAGACTGTAGACTCGTTTGGTAAACCATAGTTGATGACGTTTAGGAAGCTTGTCCTTTCCGGGCTCGGATATGAGGCGCACGAAATTATGATCGCGTCGCGTTTGTCCGGATTGGCCGCATCGCAATTCATAGCGTGACTAAAAACCTGTCGCCCAAATGCAACCGCTACCGCGTCCCCATTTCTATCGTCCCACAAATCTGGGTCACCAAAAGTCCACAAAATCAACATCGATGTAGCCAGCGAATGCTTGTCTAAATACGCGCCGAAGTGTGTAGCTTTCGTATCCACTGTTCCCGCATGTTCTTGATGAGGTGGAGGCGCATCCTCCTGGAGATTGGTCGGGCACACGGGGAGTCCGGAGATTGCGGGGTGCGTGATCCAAGAAGTCCCCGTTGAATAGATCGGACCACGATGCGACATCTCATGCACCTTAGCAGTAGAAGCACTGGGAACCTCCTCGATTGCCTTAGCCTCGGGTTTATTTCCGGGAGGTGTGGTTGTCCACCGCACATCTGCGTAAGTTTCGGCCGCAAGTACCCACTGGCTCCCGCCTTGGGTGGTCTTATCCGCGTAGAGTTTCGCGGCTCCGAAATCGAAGAGGACTGCGCGATGCCTGCGCACATCGCCAAGCGACTCCGAGCTGATTTCTCCGCAGTCGTTGGTTGCGCCATGGGCAGTCGCCGTTGCGTCGCACGTCAACGCCATGTTGCCTGGCTTGATGTCACCGTGAAAAACGCCATTCGCATGAAACGCATCGATACATCGGTCCCAGCCTTCGAGGAAGTAGTGCATGCTCAGTTCCGCCCCCAAGTTGTAAAAATGTCTGGCTGCGCTTTCTGGCACCAGCTGTGGCATATTGTCGTCGACAGCGTCTCGAATGAATTCCATCGGATGCACCCGCTCGATGACAAAACCCATATTCTTAGCCGACAGAATGAGACCGTGAAACGCAGGCACGCAACCGTGGATCGCGTTGTGGTCTCCCTTTGCGGCGATCATGGAAAGCAAGCTCGAGATGAATGATTCCCAAATTGGCTGATCGTACATGAAGTGTGGGTAGCTATCCTGACCAGGAGGCGCGCCAGCAATTTTCGTCAAACTCACATCGGAGATCTTCACGACAAGCGGCGCCCTGATTGGCTCCTCTTTATTGCTGTATCGCGCTCCCGATGGCGTCACGGCGATGACACTCCCAGCAGCCCCTTGTCCCAGCTTGCTGCCCGCCTCCACGTTGAGCGTCAGCGACGTTCCTGCGACGGTTGTCCCTAATAGCGTTCCCGCTTCAACTCGCAGAAAGCCCGCACTTGTCATCGAATCGGAAGCGGCCAAAAAAACGCGCTCATTTACGTGACTGTGGAACTTCTCTACCACCTTCTCAAAGCTCACCACGCCTGTCCCAAAGATAGCCGCAACATTAGAGCTGTGCAATCTTCCTTTTTGCCCTGCGCGATCTCTAAAGTGTACTTCTATCATTGAGCTAATCTTGAAAACCTTACTCGAAGTATACGCATGTCTTATGAGTATCAAGCTGTGCTTGTCAGCCCTCGCACCACTTGCAATATCGCAAAGGGGTGCTACTTTGGTCATTCTGGGTACTTACTTACATAGACATAGTAAGCTCTAACGAAAAATGCGTCATCCAATGAATAGAAAGCTGTGTCGAAGTGCTAAATATTTTCAAATACTTAGTACCATGCATTTCCGATTCCGACGTATTTTCCGAACAATTTCATTACAAGATACCTTGTAGTATTACTATACTGAAGTTGCTTCGCGAATGAACGCCTTCGCCTCATTCTATAAGAATAAAAATTATCGATATAATTCATCGTATCACGCGGATCGAGCGATGTGCTCAAATAAAAAAATGTACTACTTAGACTCAAACTACAATATAAGAGCCTTAACCACGAGTGGATGCCGCGCGGAAACCATATCTTTCAGCCAGACATCCATTTTCGCTTTCATTAGATTCCACGTTTTCTGCACAGATTCAGGACCAGAGTTAGCAGCTTGCAGTTCCATGAAGGTGGCATTCGAGGTGGGCGAAGTTGTCATGGTGGACGATTTTATAAGTGGACGATATTGCAGCTGTTGATTGCCAAATGCCGAAGAGGAGCCGCCGTATCCTAATCCTGTGGAAGGCGCGCCCCGCGCCGAACCACGAAAAAGAGTCGAAATCCTTGGAATCGCCTGCACCGTTCCGTTCATCGTCAATTTCGCAGAACCTGACAAAGAAGGAGTAGAAGCTCCCACTTCAGTGCATCCTGAGGGACCATTAAATGACAAAGAGGACTCAAATACTAAGCAGGTATTAAATCAATGTTGTTCTTGGTGATTCTGGTCCATTTTAGTCATAAACATCATCAACATGATGATGAAGATTTTGAATTTGAGTCAACAATATGAATGAAAAGTAGAATAGGTGCTCGTATCTTCTCAATCTGTATCTACGGGTAGAAAGTAGTGCTCTACGGTACTAAGGAAAATCTGTTTTCTTCAGCCCATAAATAGTAAGTAGTACCTCCGAGTCCACCAAGGGCATCGTCGTGGCCATTAGAAGTGGAAACAATGTTGTCGCTCCGCGAGAACATCTGGAGCATCCAATAATAAACGTCGTTGCTGGAGGTGTTGACATCAATCGTGGTCGCCATGGAGAAGAAGAACACATATCCCGCCGACGCCACAAGAAGGGCAAAAATAGTCATTAAGCCGGTGTACCTGTGAGGCAGGCACTTTCCAACGAGAGGACTTCTAGTTCTAGATACTGATCGCAGACTCCGAAGATAAAAAGGAACAATTTCGACAGTTGACGGAAAGGAGCAAAGAAAGTAGGTGTTCTTGGTTCTACGAAGCTTGTTCTTCACGTTCTACGAGTTCTTCAACAGCAAGATCAAGATCAAGTTCAATCCGAATGTGAAACAAGAATGCCAAAGTCAGTAGAGTCAGGGTGTACTATATATAAAATAATAAATCAACATAATATTGATGATGTTGATCTCTTATAAAAGTGTTGATGTAAGAGGGAGTACTAGTAAGTGTAGTACATCCATTTCGGCTTGCACGGCAAGCCTTGCTGCTTCTTGGTCTTCGTGCCGTTTCCTGCCTTTTTGTCTCCGGGTAGTAAGAGGTCCTGCTCTTGTTCTGCAGTAGCAGACAACGTGGGATAAAACGACGCATAAAATTTCGAGGCTTCCTCCTTACGGGGTTGAAGTCCTACTCCAACTTCTTCTTTCTCTTTAGAGGACGCCATGGTACAGGTCCAGTTTCTCGTCCCGCAACGAGCGAGATCAAATAAACTGCCTTACCTTTAGGTCGTGTAAGTAGAAGAATGTTGACGAGGGAGAGTTGCTTCTTGGCAAGAACGCTACACGGAAAGTGCAGCAATAAACTTAAATTGCTCTGAAAGTGAAGCTGTTGATAGACGAAGGTCTAGCTGCTATACTTCTATGTATAGCTACGGCTGTTTCCCTAGTCCCTATGATTTTTTAGGTCGGTTGCGAGTTGGAGTTGTATCATGATGTCGAGGATGATGATCTTAATGATAGCGACTAAGGCCATGCCAATGATGGCGCGGATTTATTATGACGTTTTTTTTGGCGAATCTGTTTGCGTTTATACATTTCGCAGCAAGAGCACGACTAACCGGACACGAACTCTTCACACACCATTTAGAAGAATGCCATCAGGATCGGTCGGGGCGATAATACACCCAGGGGAGGCAGGCCTGTTTTATTTTCATGATTCAACTAGTACTCTAACTCTGCTAGAAGAAAGAGTTTCAGAAGTACCTACTTACTTTAGGGTGGTGAGTTTAGGAGGTTGGACGGGTCGCATTGGAGAGGTGACACTACCACTGCGCAAGCGGGGTGCTTGATGATATGCATGCCACTCTCGAAAAAGCCTATATTTTTCTTTTAGAGTAGATTCACGACCATGCATTGGCAGAGGTGGCAGTAGCTTTGCGTTTTAGCTTTACCGATCATGACTAAACGATGACGCCTTGGCAGAAGCCGATTCAGATTCACAAAGTACTGCCTCAGACCGACGCCTCGTTGTCTTCTCTTGACGTAAGTGCCATTTCTCTCAGAGGAGTCCAACAGAAACGCGTCTCCCTTCACATAGTGACTAGTCTTGTAAGTGTAACCGATCATAGACACTATGAAGAAGAGCCTCCGATGAAGACACCAGCGAGCCCACGCAAGTGTGGCGCCGATAACACGTCGACCGCACAGGATTGTCTTGTTCAGACACGGTAGTAGATCTAGATGTAGACTCAACAGACTGCAATCAATCTGCTAGATGGACCTTGACAATTCATAACTAATTTTCGAAGCTGTGAGTCAGGCGCATGCACGCGGAGCGCGCGGCTTGAAATTACCACAGAAAGACTAGTACATCAACATCACGTTTTTAGCATAAAAAGACTTATTGGTTCTTAAATTACAACTTTCCTTTTTTCGCAATTTTCGACAAATAGAAGACATTCAAAATATCGTCTTCCACATCCACGTCCATAAGTAGAATCATCAATATCAAGTTGCATTTGATGGAGGAATTGGGATGAATGAAGTAAAAACAAGCTCGCAACTGGTGCTCGTCCTCGTGGTATTCCTTCGTATAATCTCGATTACCAGATGAACGCTTCCTTCTTCCTGTGCACCATTATTATTTCTCTTAGTTCTTGAAAATGAAAACTCTAGTACGCTCCTTCGTAAACAAAATTGAATTAAAAAAAGATCTTGAAACGTTCTTCAATCATTTTCGCTACCCTAGACCTAGTCCGCGTGGTTCTCGAAAGAAAGTAACCGATTCTTCAAGAGGAATCTCATTTTTCTTAATCTCCGTCGGTCGATGAGGAAGTCGACGACGTAAATGTAAATCTCAATCAATGAACTAGATCGTGTATCTGATTCGTTCCTATAATATTAGTAGATGCTCATGTAAGCTGGAAATCGGTAGGCACATTCAAAATGTGAGGTCAGTTATTCGGTAGGATTAGCATTCGGCGTTAATAGAATTTAGTAAGATCTGATGTCGTTCAAGATATCATCGTTTACGAGCTTTGAGTGTCATTGTTGTCAAGTTAGATAGTCAATGTTATGAAGACCAGTAGCAACAGTACCAGATGGGAGTACTCTATAAAGGCTTCTGTAAGTGTAGTGATCTGGTGCTATAATTATAGATTCATAATTCTGGTCCTCTGCTCTGTTCGTTTTGATATCAACTTCATATAATCACTTATGGAGTGAGGGTAAGAAAGTAGTCAATAGTTTCTAGTCCATGCGGCTCTGCTGCTTCAACACGTTTATGCGTGCAGTAGCGTCTTGACTTTGCCTGGAACTGGAAGAAGTACTTGTGAAGTAATATTTCGCTGCACCTGCACAACAATGGTCTTCGTCTTTGGTTACTTTAACTGTTTACATACTGAAGTGGAAAAAAGGCCAAGCTCGACGTCGATAGATGTCTAGTAGATGTTCTCGGTGATGCTGGCCGTTTGGTAGTATAGCAGCCTAACTAGATTTTTCAGATTTTGAATCCCTGATTTCCGCGGTTCGGGTTCATACTGTAAGATGCACGGCTTTGTCCTGCGTGCGCTGCCGTCGTCGGCGTACCAGAGCCAGGCCCTGACTTACTACTACAATCGTCAAGAAGCTTGTCGTAACACGTTTATTAGAACTAGAAGAGGAATCGAATAAAAATGAAGATGAACAAATGTTGCAGCTATGTATAATTATAATACGTCCTTATCGGGTTCGGAAATAGAAAAAAAACTGAACCTCATGTCATTGTTCTCTCAAAAATTCTCAATTGTCATCTTGCTGCAGTTACCTGTTGATTGAAAGCGGAAGTCTCGTCTCCTGAATAATGCACCAAGTTAGTACTTTGTGTTGAGGTATTTATAATTTTGCAGAAACAAAATAAAGACACCTGTAATCATAAGATTTTGCCTTCTTGAAGAGTTCCGCCGCATGGTCTTGCCTCGCGTGATTGTGGGCCCGGTCTGGATGGTAGTCCTTAGCCTTCTGTCGAAACGCTTGCTTTAGGTCGTCCGCAGTAGGTTCCCGGTTGAGCCCAGTAAGACCCAAGAAAGCTAGAGCGTCCCGTCGTTCCGCCCCACTCATCTTTGACCGCGACGACGACGAAGAACGCCCACCACTTCCACCCGAAGATGCCCCGCGTGTTAGAAAAGAGTAAAATGAACGAGTTAATTAGAACAAGATGATATTAACTTAAGAGTCATGTCCATGGTTAACATGTTGTTGTTGGCATCATAAATTTGAGTAAGAGGCTCCTCCATTTTGTCTGTACTGCTGTTGCCGGAAATAGTTTTCTCGTTCGCGCTTTGCCTGTTCGTAGTCCGCCTGGCGCTGTCTCTCGCGCTCTCGCATCTTATCTTTCTCCCGCTTCAGCTGCTCCCGAAGCACCTCCCGCTCCTTTGCCTCGCGCTCCTCCTGCTCCCGCTGCTTGGTATCCGCGGCCTGTCGCGAGTTGGCCCATGCTGGAAACTGAAAGAACGAAGCTGGGCCTCCGCTTGGCGGTCTGGCGCTATAGGATGAGGCTGGACGGCGCGGCTGCGAGGATCCAAAATTATTCGGCCGTGGAGGACGTGCTGCGTCGTGCTCGTATCCCCTAGAAGCTGGTCTATTCGAAGAAGACGAACTCCTGTTTTCCGAACCACCGCTTGCCGCTTGAGACGCATGCCCACCAGATGACGGCGGGCGGTAGTTGTTGTAGTTGTTGTAATCGCCTTGGCAGCTACTAGTACCTTTACTGGTGCTGGTGTCATATTCATTTCGCACATGTTGATCCTCTTGTCTAGTACTCGCAGAAACGTTGCTTCTTCTCCTCTCCTCCTTTTGCTGCGCCGTGGAGAATGAGGCATAGTGTGGCGAGTCTTCACTGCGAGCCGAGTATTGTGAAGACCCGCGACGTGCACTGCTTGGCGGGTTCGAAAAATCGTAACGACTCGAACGCGCGCTGTCCGGTTCCGCTCTATGCTGGTAGACAAAGTCACGCGAGGCCCGACGAAAATTGTGCAGGTTCGCGCTTTGCGGCCTCTGCTGAGCAAATCGAGGCACGTGCTCATTATAGTAAACGTTGTCATGTTTACTGCTTGTACCATGATCGGCGCCAGTGCTAGCGCGAGAGCTTGGGTCGCGAGGTGGCATCCCTCGTCCACCCCTCTCGGGTGCCTGCGGAGGCTCCTCCTGCTGCTGCTGGCTTTGAGTTTGACTACTAGATGTACTACTTCTGTTGCCAGGAACGCTCGCATACTCACGATTCGAATTACGAAAACCTGAGATTAATGATACGTGTCGATGTACGCATGTTGCTACGGGGACAGGGCCAGCGACATTGTGTCTTTTATAACTAGCAGTGTACTTCCCGAGTAAAACAGTACTAGACACGCCTGCTTCCTAATCGTCATGATGCCGTGCAAAATGAACTTTGAAACTTAATAGTAGATTGAAGATACCTGCTCTTGCTCTTATTATAGACAGATTGATTAATACTGGGTCTTGCGCTTCTAGGGCGATCAACACGAGGTCCATCTCCACCACGACTCGCAAAAATTCGAGCAGCGAAGTCACGCGGGTGCTCCCTGGGAGTCTGACAGGCGCGCGGGCTCGTGTAGAACGAATCGGATGACGAGGACCCTGCTCTTGGATTTGTGGAAGGGTCGGGATGCGGACCGCCATGCGACGAACGATCCGAATTAGAGCTGAAGATAATCTGCTTCCACTTATATAAATAATATATGTCTACTTATACAAAGGAGAATACGAATATGTTGGATACATTCGAACACAGACTGTTAAGTCGCATCTAGTTTCTCGGTAGGAGACACTTGAGAGTGATACTGTTTTCACAATTTGCACTCACAGCCTGAGACTAATGATCTCTGGTTGGTCATTTCTCCGGGGCGAGCACAGGACGGGCCGGGCCCTTCCTCTGGGTCGCCGTGTCTTACCTCGTACACAGGCCTTGCCCGGCGGCTTCGCGGCATGGATGCCGTTCCTTAGCCCTCCCAGTGACGGGTGTGCCGAATTCTGACATCAGTCGGATTCGAACCCTGCGTCATTCAGATCCGGAGAAACTGAACTGAGACACTTGACCACTAGGCGAAATGATCCCTGTGGATATTCATTGGGGTTGCAAGGAGGAAGTCTCAGCTTCATCATTGGGATATCATGTTGCATGGGGAAACTTTCATATGGAAACGCTTATGCTATCATCATTGATTCATACGATCATCCTATGTTGATTCTCATCATTGATCAGAACTGACAGTACGTTATGAACCTGATTACAGCTATGAAACATTCATCATTTCTTCTATCTGAATACGTTGAAGGTCCTTTGCCTGATGATCACTGTTTTTGGAACTATATGCATTTAGGTCTGTAGGTTATCTTTGAGATCATTCCGGTGCTGTTTTGTCCTTGACTGTATTGGGAGGCTTGAGCCACAAACGAGAGAGAGAGGAGAAGCCAGAGACACCCGCGCGACGGTAAACCCGTCGGGCGTTTGGATGGTGCTCCGGTAACCTTTTGCCTGGCGATCTTGGTCATTTTGCTGATCTTCATCCTTGTGATCTTTGTGACATTTCGAGGATTATGACCTTGACCAACACCTCTCCTCAATCGTTGCGTGTCGAAGTCCCTAGTCTCTGGACTACCACGGAAGTCATATCTCCTAGCTGCTCTTCTATGGCTACGGTATACTCGGCTAGAAACCAAAATAAACCGAATATACTACACTATAGTAAGCTAAATCATCCCCATTCGTTTCATCGTCTGAGGAATCACAATCATCATGCTCAACTTTAGTTATCGGGTTATCTATATGGTGAAGTAGTAGTCTACGTTGAGACGAACTACATTCTAACTTAGTTAAGCCATCAGCCTTCATTAAGTTAGTTGGACAGAAAACTATCTTACTGGCCGCATCACGCACACGCAAGTAGCGAAGTGCATAATGGCGACTCTTCGGGCGTGTGTCAGTTGCTTTGGCTGTTGTGATCGCGGATTGGTTGTCGATCCAGAGCACAGCATTGTCTAAAGAGGGAGACAAGCCGTTCTGTGTGTGTACCAACTGAGTTGGTAGAGGCCTATAGAAGTCTGTAAAGTCATGCAGTTCACTAAGCACAATAGTGTCAGAAGCTGCAATATATTCACTTTCAGCCGTAGAATAGGCACGGACAGTTTGTCGGTTACTTCTCCAAGCAATTGGAACGCCTTTGAAATACATGATCGATCCACTTGTACTTCTCATAGTCTTTACGCAGTTGGCGAAACCTGCATCACTAAAGATATTCACCTCTGGCATATCTCTGCCTTCAGGTAGTAACTTTGAATAGATTCTATTGAATTCTTCTTCTTGCTCTGGTGAGTATTCCAGTCCTTGGTCTCTCGTTGTCACCAGATACTTTAGCACTTTTCTGGCTGCTTTAACCATTCTTGTTGACGCGGGTTTGCTGACATGTCTAGCCAATGCTGCCACCGGTACAGAAATGTCCGGGCGCGCGGTTACAGCTACCCATAGCAAGGCACCAACTACCTCACGAAAGGGATACCCTTCGACTATCTTGATCCCCTCCTCAAGAAAAGCCGACTCGTCAAAATTGGGCGAGTAAACCGGTTTTCCGACATCAATTTCGAATTTCTTTGCGATTTTATCAATGTACTCCTCCATATTGAGCCGAAATGTTCGAGCTTCACGGCAGTAGTACACGATGGCACCTAAGAAGTCGAACCTGAGCCACGTTTGACCCCAAGGGGTTGGAACGGACTCCACATCAATCGCACGGCCAGGGGCACGCGAGAAGATGAGTTCTAGTTCGGTCTTGAGCTCATCAAGATCAGGACCCGTTGCAAGATTGTCATCAACATAGACTGACATCTTGAGGAACTTCCCAGGTACCTTCGCACTCGGCTTTCTCCATAAGCCTGGCGCAGAATCACACGGCTCCCAGCCAATACTGGCTAGTATGTCGTGATATTTCTTGAACCATGCTCGTGGTGCGTCCTTCAAGCCGTATAAGGCCTTCTTGAGCTTCACGATCTCGCGTCCATGCTTCTCTGCCCAGATGGGTGGGAGACGGCAGAAGACATCGCGATCGAGTTCAGCATTGAGGAACGCAGAATCTAAATCGAACGGGATCACATAGTCCTGTTCTGACGCAGCAGATGTCAGGAGCAGCCTATTAGCGGCGTGTGAAACTACGGGAGCAAAGGTGTTTAGCTCTCCTGAACGATCTAGATTACCGAGGACACAAGCGCGAGCCTTGTATCTTCCACATCTTTTAATAGTTAGAATTATGGCAATTGGTAGAGCCTGTCGCGCGGTCGCAAGCTCCTCGTCAGAAGCTTCTTTCCACGTTTCAAAGGCTAGTAGTCTCGCATGCTCTTTGTCAATAACCTCCCGCCATTTGTCGGCATCAGGAGACTTGAGTGCTTGAGCAACGGACAAAATCACATATGATTCGACGAATTCCTCATCTTCGTCTAATTCACACGTGCCACCTACTGCACTAGCGAACAGCGCCACATTCTTTCTCAGTTCTTCTAACTGTTTCTTTGTTCTTCGAACCCTGCTGCCTGCTTTGTCCTTCGCTCCTTTTGGTCGGCCACGCTTCTTGACGTGTGTACGGCGTTCGCCTGCCACAACACGTGCTGGAGAAGGCGCTTTCGACTTAGACGGACTTAGCGGAGCAGATGTCTCGCGATCCTTCGCTTCAGCATTCCCCTCCTCAAGTGAAACACCTTTTGGAGAGTCAGCTGCGTTGGATTCCTCTACTTTATCCAGTGTCTCAATAAATAATTCGTCGGAAATCGCGGTCGGTCCACCTGGAATGTGCTCCGTGCCAGAGAACCCCGATTGATGATCCAGCCTTTGCACTGACTGTCCAAGCAAGGGGGAGCCCAGCGACGACGCGCCACTCTGCAGATTTTCCAGTTCGTCATACTCAATGTAGATGCCCTTCTGATCTGGCAAAAGCCAATCGATATTTTTAATTAGATAGTCCTCTCTGAACTTTACATCTAGGGTAGAGTATTCCGCCCATCGATGTCCAAGCTTGCAACGATCGTCATGAGCGAAAGTTCCAACCAACCAACCAGACGACTTCGGACAGAGTCCAAGGAAGACGCCACGGCGGTACTTGGCCGAGAGCTTGGGTTCAGGAGTGTTGGCTTGAATTTGTTCACGAAAGTAAACTAGACAACCAAATCGGCGGAGCATGCCGATTGAACTCTTCGATGAGTTTCTACCAGTCCTTTCTTCTAAGATTTCAATTGGACTCTTTCCATCATGTTGAGGCATTTTTGCATAGTTATGCGGTAAACGATCCCAGCAGTCACCAGCGTACTCGACGCAGTAACACCAGAGGCGTTTATCAACTTTAGTCAGCATTGTGCGTACACTGCCGAACAAAGTCCGCATAAAACGTTCGCAGGTCCCATTCATCTCCGGATTATAAGGAACAGCCGGACTGTCTGAGACTCGCAGCGATTGCATAACTTTGGTCATGTCATCACTGCTCAGGACAGGTTCTCCATCCCTCCGGAGGAACCACACTACCTTGTCATCAAGTGATAAGGAGTAGTCCTGGCGAATGCCTTTGATAACTTCTTCTATTTCCTCCACACAGTCACTTTTCAGCTTAAGCGGTCGACAGAACACCTTCTTAATTACATCACAGATGATCACTAATACACATCTCTTTGACCTGACTGATACGGGTTTGATTCCAACAGCAAAGTCGATTGCTAGTAACTTCAATGGTTCAGGTTTGTAGTTCGAAGTATCTCTAGCTTTTGCATGTGGTGCGCGTTGGCCTTTATGTAGATCACACTCAGGGCAATTTACCTGGAGGCCATCTATATGAAAGTGCCCACATCTTCTATGAAGTTCGAGTCTTGTAAGGTAACAACTACTGACTCCTTCTTCTACTGTTGAACAAATATAACCACTATCAGTCTCTTCTTTAAATAAGTTGCATGCAAGTATGGGAAGCTGCAAGCGTGGATGACTTCTTATGGGTATGGCCTGGCCGGTGTCCGTATGTACGAGACAACCACCTGCGCCTTTGAAGTTGAATTCCCATCCTAATTGCGAGCAGTTCCCTTCACCTAACCAAGGTATAATACGATCTAAGTCCTTTGGTAGTGAATCATAATAAACACCATACTGGAGCCCTAAGATGTTTGACTTTAGTTTTCCTACTCTTCCGTCTTTACTTCCAGCGCTACCAGTAATCCTACAAGTTCTCATAGTTATTTCACTAAAATCGTCTTTGTGTCTTGAAAGATATTTGTTTGCACAACTATCGACTAGACTAACTTCTTCTCTTGTAGTAATGGAACTAGTTGAAAGACTATGTCCCACAAGTTTTACCTCCCCTGTATTATTTACGTTTATTTCTTCACCCTCATCTTCATCCAAGTTCAGCGAGCAAAATCCGCTTTCCACCGGTTCCGCAACTCAGCTCTGCTTTCCGCCGTTGAGAGCTTGCCACAGCTCCGCAACTTGGGACATGTGAACCATGCCATTACCCTTTCCACCTTTACCCATAGCACTACTAGATTGGGAATTGGTGTTCCAGTTCCAGTTTGCCTGGTTCTGTGGATTCTTCCAACAAGACGCGGATTTGTGACCCGGTTTGTTGCAGATCCAACAGACTGGACGGGTGTCTTGTTTTCCAGAACCTTTATTATTTTTGTTCTGCGGCTTTCCTTTGCCGTTCGAATTGGAGGCATAGACCTCGGCGGCGATCTTCTTCTTTGTGTTTGCCTTGAAGCGCTTGAGAGCACTTTTAGACAGAAAGATCTTACCACCTTCATTGGCCTTTTCCTCGTCATCCTCCTCTTCACGAGAACGTTTATTCGAGGTCTCCTGAACATTGACCGGGAACGCCTTCCCGAAGGAATCGTTCTCAACTTTGTAGGTTCCCTCCTCGATCAACGTCGCAAGACGCTTTTCAAGTCGGTCACCAATCTGGTCAAATGTCAGACCATCTTCTTCCTGCATGCGTTCGATCGTTGCCTTGAAGTTCTTGCAGAACAGCTCGGGCAACTTCTGTAGCAGTGCACCATTTTGTTGGTCACTTTCTGGCACTCCTGCTTCCGGCGGGTACACGGTGGGCGACTGGTTCATGATGTCTCGGACTTTCGACAAGAATCCTGTGACATCTGCAGGTTGATCCGCGTTGTGGAACTTCAACACGCCATCCGTAAGCGGTTTTACTTTCATCCGTTGTTCCTGACGGTTGTTTTGATCGAAGTGTCCTACATCACGAAGGAGCACAACAACCTCACCTGCATCCATCGCATCCACCTGCCCATTATCGTTCTGGTTGTTGATGAACGACGCAGCGGCACCTTTCAGACTACGAATAATCGCATCTTTCAGGTTGCGCCACTTCTGCCGAATTGTTTCCTCCCGATTGGTAACTCCGTTAGGAATACCATGAGGAGCTGCCGGAATGCCGACTACATTCGTGTAGTTTTGAAGCAGGCCGAGACGGCTAGCTTCCTGACGTATGGCAAGTTGCCATGCTCGCCAGTCGGACTTCTGTCCGAGTTTCTTCGAAATTTCTTTCGCATCGCAGGACATTTTGAAAAGTTGTTTCTAGATGGATTTCTACTCTATACTTAGCTCAAGGGTCAAAGTAGTGTTGGATACATTCGAACACAGACTGTTAAGTCGCGTCTAGTTTCTCGGTGAGAAACACTTGAGAGTGATACTGTTTGCACAATTTGCACTCACAGCCTGAGACTAATGATCTCTGGCTGCTTTGATCCCTGTGGATGTTCATTGGGGTTACATGGAGGAAGTCTCAGCTTCATCATTGGGATATCATGTTGCATGGGGAAACTTTCATATGGAAACGCTTATGCTATCATCATTGATTCATACGATCATCCTATGTTGATTCTCATCATTGATCAGAACTGACAGTACGTTATGAACCTGATTACAGCTATGAAACATTCATCATTTCTTCTATCTGAATACGTTGAAGGTCCTTTGCCTGATGATCACTGTTTTTGGAACTATATGCATTTAGGTCTGTAGGTTATCTTTGAGATCATTCCGGTGCTGTTTTGTCCTTGACTGTATTGGGAGGCTTGAGCCACAAACGAGAGAGAGAGGAGAAGCCAGAGACACCCGCGCGACGGTAAACCCGTCGGGCGTTTGGATGGTGCTCCGGTAACCTTTTGCCTGGCGATCTTGGTCATTTTGCTGATCTTCATCCTTGTGATCTTTGTGACATTTCGAGGATTATGACCTTGACCAACAGAATATCAAGAGAGTTTCTTACTCTTTTAAAAAGAGGCCAATAATGATAGCAGAGCGGCACCCCTCGCGGCTAGCTAATATTTCAAAAAAAGTTGTTTTCATTCTTACAATATTGACTAACAAGTATAAGAGTTTGAATTCAGATCAATCACGCCTGCCCATAATGTGTGACGTTGCGGACGATTCTGAGGCATTATTGTATTCTTCGTTTTCTGCAGAACTGGACCTTGGGTCCTGACGATACGTCGACGCGCTTTCCGGTCGCCTATTCCTATAGTAGTTCGTGCTGCGCGCGTCCACGCCACCGGCGTCGGAGCGATCTCCACTTGAGCTGGCTGCCCCACCGTCTGGTGCTTTGGGTTGATGATGCTGTTTACTATCCTCGCGCACTATGTTAGCGTTCACGAAGAAGCGCTGCTTCAATGCGCTCATGTCCATCTTCGGTATCTGATACTCTGCGGCTTTGTGTCCGCGATTCTTTCGGCTCGTGGCGGTGGCTGCACCATGCTTAGAACTAGAGTCATTACTTACGACGGTGAACTATACGAAGTTACAAATGTTGCAGCTCATCAACTCGAGGCGAGTCAGAAAAACCATGTTGAGCACGACACGATCCGAGTTATCAAGCTTTAGCTCCACGACCAGCGGGACGTCTGTGGGACATTTTTCATCATAACTGTGTTTCCTTCTCCTCCAGCGGAAACTCCTGATGTCTTCGCCGAAGACCCCGTGTAGTTGCCAAGACAGTAGGAATCCGCCTCATGCTCTTCTTCGTCCAAGTCGAGATCTACACCCTCTAAAGGTGACGACGTCGCAGGCGAGCTCTTTCGTCGGCTGTTCTTAATATTTCCGGCGGAAGAAGAAGATATTCTCCATGGCGTCGACTCAGCCGCCAATGGTTCACCTTTGGTAGGTGGCGAAGAAAACATACTCTTCTCCTTCTGTTGAAGATCGCGCTGGTCTTCCACGTCTGCTCCTGGTCCTCGCTTCGAGGCGGATCATTAGAGGAGCTCATCAAGTAGAACAAGAATGCCAATCAATCTTTTTGGCAACAAAAAACACTATGATCCCTCGTTATTCCATTTCCACGTCCACCAAGGTTAATAAATAAAGATTACAAAGATGAGCATGAGAAGATGAGCGAATATAAAGATAAACTATCCTGATGTGAAGCCGTAAGTTGAGGACGATGATACATGTGATCCGCGAAAATTGCGTTGAGAACCAGAGGATTGAGGCGCTTGTGGCGGCCGTGCAGGCATGTCGTCACGACTATTTCTTGCGTCTGATGAAGACGAGGAGGATCCCCCTGCAGTGTGACGCGCCGTGGAGGAACCAGGACCAGGAGCGGCAACATCGACATACAGCTGCCCCGGGCCAAGTTCGCGTTCTACCGCAGACTCGACAGGCGAACTTTTTGTGTACTGACGAAATGCGAAGAGACCAGCACTCACTGGACGTTTCTGCTTCTTCAGTCGTGACAGGTCTTCCGCCACTGCCGCGTCCGTCACTTCCACCTTCGCTTTGCTCGTGCTCAAGGCCTCAGCGATCCGAATACTCTTTGCGGAAAAAGGGCGTGCTCCTTCAAAGTTCTGGTTGTAAGATATTTGTTCCTCATGCAGATCTTGTTCCCTCCTCCTTGCGTCAGCGTGTTCACCAGTCGGTAGCGGAGGCAACGGCGGCGCTGCCCGTTTTCTCAAACTCGCACTTGATGGCCGGTGTGAAGGACGTCCATCTGGTAAAATAAGAATTGAGAACACTATAACTACTAACCCCTTATTGCATGAAGTCTAGATGTAGTCCAACAGCTAAATATTAATTTAATGAACGAGGGAAAGACGTACTTATTCTCACACGGTAGAAGGACAATAAAGATGTGTTGACCAAAGACGGTTATTTCGAGAAGTTAATATGATGTTGATTCTTTCTTATTGAGGAACCGAATTAGTTGCTAACAAAATCCATGATTTGAAGGTCATTGGACAAGCACCACCAAAGTGTGACTAAAGACAATAAAGAGCAAGTGACTTTGCCCTGCATTTTGCTTACTTGATTCTCCTCGTTGCGGCGTGCCACTCCGTGGAGTGTTCAAGCCCTCAGCGTTCCGGCGTATTCGATCTCGATCAAGTTTCTTTAGTGGGTCTAAATCCATAGAAGCTTTTTCACTGCTTAGCTGCTCATAAACATTGCTTCGATTGCTGCGCGCAGTCACTGTTCAGATAGATTGTTTCAAAGGACACGTTTTTGTGTAACTACATGGAGACTTGTATGTTCGATGAAAATGAAAGGTTATGGACATGGACGAATTACGATCGGAAAATCACAACGCCAAAGTCAAACTTAGTCTCAATGCCTAAAATAGGATGAAAAGATGAAGTTTATGCTTCTTGAGCATCATGTACTAGGTCGATTAGAATTATCGAATTTCCGAAAATTTGGTATGCTAATTCAGTATTTTTACATGGAATTTCATCGCCAGCCTCGTCGACAACACGTGGCGTGCTTCGGTCGCGAGGCCCGCCTCCTGATGAGGTCTGGCTCGACGTCGAGAATCCACGGCCGCGGTGCCTGTTGTAGCCGCCATTCGCACTTCGCGCAGACGAGGGCGACGGTGGTCGTGCATCCACATAGCGCGTAGAGCCACCTGCTGACCGAGCCCGCTCTGCTGCCGCACCTCCTCCTCCAACATTGTCCGCTGTATGATTTGGTAAAGGGTTTCTATTTTGTGTAGCACTATTTTTAGCTTGGTTCTTTGTTGTAGAGGAAGATAATGATGCTCCGTTGGCAGCGGAGGTAGCCCCTGACGATGAGGGCGCTCGCTGGTGCTGCACGCTTTCCTGGCTCGACGCATTCACTTGCAGCCCTTGTCCTCCAGAGGTAGATTTGATGCCCTTATCATGATAATTCTTGTGACTGGTGCGTTGTCGATCGTTCTCACCCATTGTTAATACGGCATCTAGCCGCTTTTTGAGCATCGTTGCCCCAGCAGAGGTGCTTAGCTCGGTTTTCTTCTTCGCCGTACCTACTATACCAAGCTTCTCCTCTCCAAACGCGATCCACGGTGCGAGCTGCGCCCACGCATCGAACGACTCTCCCATGTTTTAGAAGATATTCATTGATATCTAGAAAAACACTTCTAGCTCTAACTTCGGGAAAGAGAAAGTATAAGTATCGTCATAATCGTACAAACAGAGAAAGGGCAGATTTTTCGGACTACCTTTTCATGCTGTGAACAAGACATCAACGACTACGTACTTGTTACAGTTACTAGTATGAAGTCTGTAAGAGTAAGACCGAGTCGACGCCATAAAATCCATGCTCTGTAGCAGCTTCGTGCATCTTCAACGCTGAATCTAACCGTTGCCACACCGTGAGCCGATCGTCTGCGTCCTGCAAGGCTTTGATGTCGAATACCTCTCCCAATTTCTTGACTTCGCTGAAGATTTGAGCACTTTTCTTCACGTCGCGAGCATCTACTGATCCTGAAAAAGCCGCCAAAAGGTGTGCTGTACTTCCAGACGAAGATGTCGTTGACACATGTCCTTCTCGTGTCCGTTCTTCAACAGCCAGAATTTCCGCAATTACCGCTTTCTTCAGCTGTAGCCAAAGCGTTTCAGCCCGTGCACTGGCGAACTCTAAATTCGCAGTAAGTCTTGATCGAACAAGATTGAAATAAGCTGCGTCATCAGTCGAATTAAGAGATTGACCCTTATTCAGCCGCGCGCTTGACGCACCCCCGCGCAACCAAGATCGTATGGAGCTCAACTTCTTCATCTTCTTCTAAATTTCTCTACTAGTAAGCTGGTAATGGTATCTTTCTTTGATTACTGTTCGTGCCAGTTCTAGCAGACAGCTGTACTTGTAGTTGTACTTCTACTTACAGCTCGTCTAAATCAAAGTCAAACTACAACTACAGTGAAAATGAAATCGAATAATGTCAGTCTAAAATGCAACTTATTCTAGTAGTAGTACGTGCTCTTAATCTTAGATTCTTGATTATAATTAACCAGTAAGTAAGAGTAGTACCAGAGGAAGTCATCTCAGAAATTTTGGGAGGTCACTATTATAGTACGACAGCGTCGTTATTCTTATTTGTTGAATAAGAAATAAACAACACTATTAAAAATCTCAAATTTATAGTAGAAGTAGTAGTAGTGTACCCCTTCGCCGAGTGTAGAACGAAGACGTGGGAACAAGTCTTTACTTCGTGTATGTGTTCTCTTTATTTCTGTTAGCGTTCGCCTTACTTACAAAAGACAAACACTTAGGATGTTTTATTAAGTGCCGTTTGTTTCATCATCAACGATTTATCGACAATGATACACAAATCTTTCTTAGGGGAAACGCTGGCTATTAGGGGGACAGGGAGGAAGACGGGGGGCTATTTCGTTTGTTGAGAGCCACTGCAGCAGAGTTGCCGCTCATGTCATGACACCTCGTTATACGTTAATCAAACGTGATGGAGGCCGTTCAGCCCTCCTGTGGCTTTCTATTGAAAGAGCAAGATGACCGAGTGATATACTATCAAGTTCTTTTCTATACCAATCTACAAACGATTCCCGATACCTCCAGACGATAGGCGCACTCACGAACGATCTTCCCACCGATTCTCGAAAACAGACTAAAATCTCACGGGGGCCGACTAAGATCTGATTTTCGAAGACTGACTTTCCGCAGATACACCGACAAGTCCGATCTTTTCGATTTTCGTATCGTAAGAAGGACAGTGATAGGCTGAGCTACTGTTCTGTGCTAGAGTAAGTAGCACACAAACAAACAAGACTGTGATGATACCGCTGCAGCCGCATGTAGAGGTCGCGACTACTGTGACATGATGATGATTGATGATGATTATCAATTTATTTATCAACGTCCACACTTATCATATTCAATATTCGGCGAGGGGACGACTCTAACATCTGGTGTTAGCACATGATCTATAGCATGCTGAGATCAAGAACTAATTACATTCATCATTTATGCGAATTCGGTGTTCTTTAGATTTAATTTTGTTTTCTACCTAAACGAACCTACTAAATATGTTGTTCTAATTTTTGATAGTTCTAGTTGCTTGTTGTCGTTAACTTTTCAATTGCTCTATCTCTCTCCGAGGAGTCGCCCATTTCTGAAGTATAGAAGAAAGAAAATAGATTGTTACTCTTGTTGTTCGGATTCATTTTCACTTTGTTCTTTCGGATCTAGATTGGATCGATTTAATGTAATAAAATAGCATTTGATGATGTTCAAGGGTGTCAACACAATCTTTTGTAGATGAATTGTTCAACAACATACATCATAGCTCCAGTTGCAGTTGTACTTGTATCTATCAGTTGTTAATAACGCAGCGCATTCATCATGATCATCCACTTTCTTCTACAAGCCTCCTTGTCTACTTCTTCGGAGTCTTGGAGCGGCCTCGTTTGGCAACTGACTTCATTGCAGCCGATTTCTTAAAGGTTGCCGAGTTGCATTCTTCAGAACATCCTTGACCTATTTCCTTCTTGAAAAGGAGCAGCGAAGGATGGTAGTGAAGGATGCAATCTGTAAACCCTTAACTTTCGGTTGGGTAGACTTAGACATCTTCGCTTTGATAAATGCCGCAACCTTATCGTACTTGGCGACGACCATATGTGCCAAATAGTCCGACAATCCATGGTCAAGAGCGACCTTGTTGGTGAGGTTTGAAGATCATTTCCATTTACAACATTCCTATTTTGGAAATACAGAGTCATTCTGCGTCATTATCGTTAGGTTGCTTTATGAAGATGAGGTTTGATCATTTACAATTTCATTTTGGAATAAAGAGAGTCTGAGTCAGATTGAGAAGTCCTTGACGCTTTACTTCCTGAGGTTGACGTCGATTCGACGTTGCTTGGTTGTCAGCAGAATGAATCAATATTATGACGACATCACCCGACGTGGAGCTGCAAAAAAATAATGAATCTCGATCTCTATCGATTTGATGCCAGTAACAAAGAGCAGGTTGAAAACCCTACGAAAGGTCATGCCTCAGATATAGCAAAAAAAAGGTTGTATATTGAGGTACGTGGAGAATGACGAGACAGACTCGTGCGACACCAGCAGGCACCGCAAGATACTGGATCAAGAGGAAGTAGACGCAGCCACCGACGACGCCAAATGTTAGAGGTTAACCCGGTGGACAGGGGCTTACCACGAGAATAAAAAAGAGTATCTATGTTGTTGACTACATAAGGATGAAGATGATCAAAGATCTACTCTCTTTGGTTGTGGTTTCTTTTGCTTAAACTACTTGATGTCAATACTCATTATACTCTTACAACAACAACTCAATCTTGCTTTTATCTCTCTCTCGTTCGTTGCTGAATTTGTATTGCAAATACAAACCGAAACCGTCAGCCATAAAAAAACGGTGTCGCAATTCAGTTTAAGGCTATCCGCTACGCTAAGACCATTTTCGAGAAAGGCGTGTCCGTTGACTGCAACGAAGCCGCCAAAAAATGGTGCGAGTAATGATGTCGGTACCAGATTCACCTGTCGAGGTATGTAGTTTGTTTCGCTGTTTAGCTCTTAGCGGTCATCGTTCTACTACAGCGGGAGGTGTGCAGTTGGAGGTTCATTGTTGTTATCCGTGGGAGGTGTAGGAGAATGACTTGCAAGACAAAAACAGTTGTAGTTGTCATGATGGTCGTGTAGATGAAGTTTTTGGCTAAAGCCTGAGCAAGGCATGTTGGCTCTGACCAGCTAGAGCTTGTTGAGCTTGATCTTGAACTTCTATGAGTAAAAGCTTGAACATATGAACTACCAACTAGAACTACTACATGTAGAAAAATACAGTGAGGGAGAATCCGTGGCCCAGGGAGTTTCCTCGAATGATGCTGTAGCAAAAGTGGTGAAACATCTGGAACCACTTGTGTGTCGACTCTGGCATGATATGAGGGACGAAAAATCCGCCATAAAGCGAAGCGCAAAACAAGACCCAAAAATACGTGTCCGTTGACTCAAACGCTCTATTTGGAAGCTGACCTGGTGTGGGTTTTCAAAGATTGATGTTACAATCACAGCTCAGTTCGTGTGAGTCTTAGAAAGGATTTTGTTTGAGGTGTAGCTATTTCGTGTGTTAGCTTTCTCTGGAAATCTTTCCATGAAGCGCAGTGTATCTTCATCTTTTATCGCTGATCATGGAAATTATACCTAGCATCACTGGAAGAACGAAGCCATATGCGCCGAATGCCCGGATTATCGAAAGAAGCGCCAAGTGTGCAAAAGTGTACTGAGGTGAGGGTGATAGCGATCGCGATCCGTAGATGTGAAGATGAGATCAGTTGAATTTCACTTTTAGCTACCAAATTTTCTGCAGTACTACAAGCGGCACGTACCAATTTACTCTGTGCCACTGCCAACAGGAGCTGGAAAATCTAAATCTTCAGAAAGACTCAGGCACATACCTCATAGTAATGGTACCACTCGCTGCGATTCCATGATCCCTATGACGATTGAGGCGCAATAGAAGAAAACTAGTGACTCCTTGAAGAGCATATCTGGGTAGTCCATCGACAGCATCTGAGGTGTGGGATTAGATAAGCGATGAAGAAATCACAAGGTCAACGTGACCACGTGAAAAAAGCTAAAGCTACATCGGGAAGAAACATAGGACGATTAGCTGAGATTGAGAATCATATTGAAATTTCAATGTCGATACCAGTACAGGCGGCGAAGCCGCTAGCTCCTCGAGGGAGCCTGGAATGAAGTCGGCCATTTTTTTCGATGTATTATCACCCACTAGTTGCCTACGGCTTTTGCCTCAGACGAGCATGTAAACCTAAACGGCAGATGTTCCAGTTCCTGCTTCTACGTTTGTCCCTAATAAATGAAAATGTAGTTTTTGAAGTTTTCTGTTGACTTTTGTGAATCAGACAATTGATACACGTATTGAACAAAGACGAGGTGGCGACTCGAATACAACCACAATGAGTTCGATTCGATTTTACTAATTTTGCTTCTAGACCACGACTTTTAATGTTCATAATTTTTGTGGCTGACAAAGTGAAGAACAGCATACTCCTGCCGGATGAGGCTGCTTTTGCTTGTAACGAAGGCTTCTGTATAATAGCTCAAAATGCACGCTACCGTGGTCTTTGGAATGGGGATAGGGTGTCGCTCGTGAGGTGGTAGTCATAAGGGGAACGACAACGCGAACGAGCGTGTCTCTCGTGTACAGTAGCTACTTCGACCTTCTCGTAACCGATGAATCTTCGTAGTCGATATTTTACCGAACATCTAGAGTCCAATGTCTGTGTATTAAGAGGTCTAAAGCATGGACGATCCCATCTCATTGCTCGAGTGCTTTTTCCAACGATGCACAACTGACTCGTCTCAGAATCAGAAAGAACCACGAAGATAGAGCTTCAAGGACCGCGCCGTCTTCATTTGCCTAAGCCCACCTAGAGCAAGGCACAGCTTCAAATATGGTGGACAAAATCCAGACCTCTGACCTCTTGAATCTTGTTGTTCTTCTTCGTATTCCCTAAATCAGTGGCCGTGCATACGCTCATTAATCAATTTCTGGTTCGTAATCATAATCTTCCACTTCTCTTCCTGTGTCTGTGATCATATCAAATATAACATAGTCTCACGGTTACGGCAACACAGGTAAGTACTTCGTAAACTGGTGTCGTCCGCCTAGAATAAAGTTGCAGCAAAAAATATTATCAACATAATTTCGTAGAATATCTAACCACTATGAAGCCCTTCAGATTTCCTTTACTTTCAACTTCTGTTCCCTTTTAGTCTCTTGTTCATTAGTGAGAAGCAAGCCACGTAGATTGCTTTAGCACGAGAAACGAAATGGTCCTTTCTGTCATTGCTTTTTGATCGAAGTAGTCGCACGTAAAACAGTTAGAGTTACCCATACCCAGGTCGTCAGCAGGTAAAACTCGTACACTAAATGTATCCCCTCGTCATGTTTGTTTCAATCTCTGCGTCAAGGTCAACCTCGGTTTAAAAAATTCAAACAAAATTTCAATCCTATCAATCTCGCTATTTTTTGATTAATGCTATAATTTTCTTTTTCGATGCAAAGGAAAACATAAAGGAAACCGAGCTGCAATCCATTGCCCTCCGAAACAGGAAGCAAAAAAGGCTGCTCTTTGAAACCACAGGTGTCCACCTCTTGTGTTCGCCTCTCGACATAGCCTGTGCACTAGCTCCAAGGCTACGAGACATCCTTCTAATTCTACTCAATCCTGTTATATCCAACACCAATCGCGTTCGGTGGTTCGTAACCGCTTCGCATCGGTGCTCCACCACCAGGAACATCCGCTGTTGGCCGCAGTTCAAAGACGGATGTAGGACCTTGCGCGTACCCCAGATGACTTCGTGCGATCAGAGATTAGAAAGAGAAACTCGCAGTTTCGAAAAAATTCTCAACAAGAACTAAAGAGGAAGATCAACCAGAAGAATCGACTACAGGAGCTGCATGACTTTTACTTACAACACTAGCACGAGCAGCTCCACTACTAGACGTGTAATGCTACTAGCCAAGTTAGTATACAAAAGGCATAAGAGCGGGAGCCCAAGTCTGCCACTGCCATGACCATGCACCTGCCGTAGCGCACGCAGACGCACAGTGAAGTGAGGATTACGAAGAGAACAAAGAGGACGAAACTCAGCCGTGAAAGGAAACTCGCAGGCTGAGATGCCAGGTCCGAAAAGGCGTTTCCGTACTTCGCGGTTGGATTAAGAAGAGGGTCGCCAGTGAAGTCTCCGACGCCGTCACTTTCATCGTCCGGAAGATTAGAGAATGTCAAAAAAGCAAATTCCGTCTTATTATTTTTGGTCTCGTTATAACTGACGCTTTCTTGACGTTGATGTAAGTATTTTTTCGATTTTCATCAACCAGCCTGAAAAAACTCGAAGTTAGTTAGGAAAAAACTTCAAAAGCATAACTAAAGAGACCTTCGGATAGGCAAACTTTTCGTCTGTTTGGCCGTCCCTCGCTATGAGGACGAAATCGAAATGTTCGCCACGTGCAGGCGCATAGTGGGCAGTCAATTTCGCCTTTACCGTATCGGCCGTTGGAAACGACAAGTCTTTACTGCTGAACATCTGTAATTGTTGCATGAAATATTCTGTTTGCTATGGACAGTTGTCATAAAGAAACTCAACATGAACAAGTACTCTGCACTATGACAAGAAGCGCGAATTGAAATTCATCTAATTTAGATTTTAATTCATCTTCTTTTATTACCTGTCTCTGCACCCCTGGCACTTTCCCGATCATGTTGTAACAGCCGCATGAAGTTGGATGGAAGTCGTCGAAAATGGGCTTCTCCGTACTGACGGGAATAATGAAGACTTCATACCACACATCCTCAACAATCTCACCAAACGCCTCGTTTTTCCTCTGGTCCGATTGATAATGTCGTCTACGGGGAACCGTCCATTCTAACTCGTAGTTACCATGTCGCCAACCTGCATGAAAACGATAACGATGTGCTTATTTATCTATACTATGCTTCATCTAATGTGACCGTTCTCGATCACCGTAGTTCTTCATCTTCATATTTTCACCACGACTACGACAGATACAAAAACCGCATGTCGTAGTCAAAATCATGGTGTGCTTACTACGAAATGGCGGAGCCGGCGGGGTCCAGGTATCTATAATACTACTTGTATTAATAATGCGCCTGTTCGAATAGCGATCGGCTGACTCACATAACATAAGCCATACTCATTACCTTTTTCCGGCTTGCTCAACTTCCCGGGCCTGTACTCCCAGCTATTCGCCATTGACGTTGCACGCAGAAGGAAACGTCCCTTACAATTATCGCCCTCGCATGCGAGCTTGATTGGTTCGTCACTGTCTCCCGCACAAATGAAGGCTACTTTATCTCCTGCTCTTTACTTGCTGTTCTCATACTCACATCTGTGGGCCTTTTCTTTTCATAGTCGGACAAAACTCATCATGTGACATGTACGGTGTGGCTCAGCCTTAGACTAGCTACCACGACAATATTATCAACGAGCATGATTTCCAAAGGACAAATATGATCATGATCAACTACTTACAAGAGCATTTACAACTAACGTCGACTACTACAACATTTATGCATGTGCATCTTCGACATAAGCATTTCCTCCACCGGTGGTCGATGCGGGGATATCTTTCCTTGACAAGGCTCGTAGTGTACGAGGACTTTCGCCTTGCGTAGTTCCTCCCTCGTCAAGTGGTTTACCAAGATATAGGACTCCGGATATTTATCACGTAAAATTCCAACCTGGCTAGGGCCATTCACGCGGAGCGGCGCGTTTTTCCGTGTTGTGCCACCGCGAACGGTTACCCGAACTGGACCAGGCCGAGAGGTCGTAATGCCCACACGATAGAAACAATGCTTGCTCAGTGAGCTGGAAGATGAAAAAGACAATATAACTCTTTACCCCGCATCTATCGGACCAAATAGATGACTGAGTGCAAGTTCTACGACTACCTGTTCTTCTGCAGTAAAGTTTGAAATTACTAACTTGCGTGATGTAGATCGTCTGACGCAGGCGATATCACAATGAAAAATGATCGAATTGTAACATTGAATCAGTCTTTCGACTTTGTTTTCATAACAGGGGTTTCGTTTTTCCAGTGGCTGCAGTTGTCGTCGGTTTATGGCTATTGTCCACAAAGGCGACGAGCTGATTTCTGCTGTTCAATCGGCCGACCACGTCGTGCGACTTTGATCCTGGTAGGCTTTCCGGATCCTCGATGTGCAACTGGGCCTGATCTACACAGTCCTGGACCCACATCTGCACTTTTGTGTTGTAGAGGTCATTTTCCTCGTCGTACGGCAGTTTTCCGATAATGGTCAGCAGAGGAGTAGCCCTCGGCGCATCGAAAGCGAAGTAGGCTGGCTCGTTCGGCCGCGCGACCTCGACGACAGCCTCTCCGCCGTCCAGCAAGAGCTCGAACACGGAGTCCGATGTAGCGACGAGAGAGGCGTGAACCAGAACGCCATGGCTTTCGTCGTTCCGCTGTGAAACCCAAGCATAAACGACACGCGGGTAAAATCCATAGTTGCGGCTCTGAATTGATATATTGATTTCTTAATGGAGATGAGAAGTATTCGCCTCTTTATCATGTTGTGGTGAACAATGAGACTCGTTCTTGTTCTACTATCTTGTCTATCTCAATGTATATATTTTCCAAAATAACCAGAACCAGAGAACACTTCCACAGGTGAAGGTTACGGTACGCATTCGACTTCCAGAAAATTGTCAATAACTTTTTACAGTTGTGATCATAAGTACTAGTACCTTAGACTGGTCTTTAAGACTGAGAGTGAGCACTTGATCTTCCTCCCTTCCGCTTGTTTTCCACGTCTGTTTAGAGCTCGCCCTAATCTTCCACCTTGAGATGCATCCTAAATGCCTTTTGTTTACCTTGAAAACCCTCCTCAGGATCATGTCTGCCAAGATGGATTAGGAGAAGCCTTAATCTTCTCCGAATTGTCGTCTGGCGTCATGCCTGCGGATAGTTCCATGCCTGCGCAATGCGGTCTGCACTGCAGCTTCAGTGTTTGTTTTGTCACTGCCGAATTCACGAAAAGAGAGAATCGTCGAGTCTTTCCCGGAAATTGCATGTACGACTGCATAGGTTGGAAATAATTTGTATGTTTCTACGATTCAGAGAGGAGTGGAAAATTGAGAATGATGAAGAGAAGGAGAACGGAGAAATTGCGCTCAGGTTGAAGAACATGATGGAGAGGGAGAGCCTGGGAAGCGCTACAACTAGGGGTAGGTTTATACGATGCCTGTAGCGGATCTGCTGGCAGCATTTTTTTACGCGTTCTCGAATGGAATCAGAATATCACGGCAAACAATCTATAAATATGTATAAATATCTAACATTACAAGATTTGATACCGGAACATCAGACGGAAGAGTTTCGAAGCGTGGTCTATCAGCCCCATCCTCGAATGCCGTGACGCTGTAATCGGCATACATAGTTCCGTGAATTCTTCGAACCAAAAACTTCATATCCTCGCACTGCCCATTCTTGTCTCGTCCAGGCTTCAGCACGAAGTATTCAAGTAGGCTGTTTTTTGACGCTGCGATGTCCGCATTGATTGAGGATCTAGAGGACCCTTTGTTATCATCTCCACTGCCACTCCTGGAGGTACTCGAGGACGAGCTTCTAGAGCCGTCCGATGAAGTAGAGCTAGATGAACTTCCACCAGCCGCAGCCGCGGAGCCTGACCCATCATCAACAACACCACGTGGTACAGAGTACCAGACCTCGGTTCCGGCGCCGGAGTCAGTGCTTCCAGGCTTTTTGCGGAAAACCAGCATATCCCCACTAAATGGCACTATGCGAATCTCTGTCAGATCGCAATTTTCGGGCGAATAGATGAATCTTTGCTCCTCAAACCCCTTTCCTACAGCAGTGCTGCCAATGAACGGGATGCCATTAGCAAGCCGGCTAAGCTTAGCCTTCTTGTAGCTATCGTTTTCGGTGTACAACGTCGGAAAAAGAGGTCCGCTTGTCGTTGCGCTGGACGAGGAAGAGCCTGATAATGTACTCGATGGTGATGCGATATTTTTCTCTTGTAGGTCCATATGTTTTAGCATTCATTCTGTGCTATTGATTAGAGGAATATCCATATGTAGTTGCAAAAAGCAAGTACAACAGGAGCTTTTGTAGTGGTACAACGACAAGCTTTTTTCGAAAATACTACACGACTGCTGCAATAGCATTTCTCATTGCAAAATTCCTGCACGCAGCACTGGAAAAAAACTTTCAGGAGTGCAGGGAAGTTTTATTCGGTCTACTGAATTGAATCAAAGTCAAACCATCAGTGGAAGTGGTAAGTTCAAAAAATAAGTACTTACTTCGATGTGAGATTACCAGAGACTCCATCTAGCGTTTTGCCTCTGTCCCCAGAGGACGTATGGCTCGATGAAGATGCACTATCGGACGATCCCAAAAAATTCCCGCTGCCCGCTCCAGACTGTGCTTTTACCTCAAACATGCAGAGCAGCTCACTCCTCCTCTCTGGATCTAGGCTGACTTTGACCAGCAGCGATTCACCAGCTGTGAGACCAGTCAAGGGTATTTGTCTTCTGTGGTAATCGATACCCTTGATGCTGGTGACAACGTGGCAGTCCATCAGCGGGGTCACCGTGATCAGCGCGTTCGGATCTGAAGTGCGAAATCGGAATCGCTCTGTAGTATGCAAATCCTTGAGGACCATTCCGATTGAGGGCACGCCGGAAGTCAACGCTGTTACACCACTAGTAGACGCTGACGCACTTGAGGACGACGAACTGCCTGAAGAGGACGAACCCGATAAAGACGATGACGAAGACGATCCAGATTCACTACTACTTGTCGTGGAAGATCTGCTGTCTTCTTCAAACGTGACGCCTATCTGGTACGTCGTGTTGGAGAAAGCGTAAACAGCACAAAAAATCGCACACTTCTTGGAAGTACTACCCATCTCTCGTCTAAGATAGTCCTCTGGAGGCAGCTTCTCTGCAAGCCAGTTCCATGTAGGTCGCTTCGCCGCTGCAGCAAACTTCTTATACAACTGGCCCATCCAAGAAGGTAAGGGTTTTTCTAACGTGGAGGGTGTTGAAACGCTCCTTGACCTCGCGATTGCCGTAGTACCCTCTGGCTCTGCAAGGTGACGGCCATCGGCAACAAGAGTAACCGACGGTATTTTCGAATCATCCAGCGCTACATGTACTTCCGCACTTCTACTTCTTCCAACACTGAGCAGCCTGCTCAGAAACCACGGCCAAGAAACGTCGTCCCGACGGCGATCACTTTCTGTGTCCTTGATCCCGTTCTGGTCTTTAGAAAGCTGGCGTAATTCATGGCTTGCAGCTGGACAATCCGAGCGAGCGATACGAAGGATCTCATTGCCACTAGCCTTGAAAGAAGCGTACCGTTTGTACATTGCATGTGCCTTCCGCATGGTCTTGATGTCTGCGAACTCCGCAGGTGGGTCCTTTGCGGTCTCCAAGTCGGTAAGAACGCAATAAAGATCCGGATCGCCCTTCTGGGGCACGATAGAGACTCGGGCCACAGTATCAGAGGACGAAGACGAGCTCGCAGCACTGGCAGCCGCAGAGGAGAAATCGGTATAGTAAAATTGCCGCATGCCCTTCAATAACTTGCCTTCTAGAGTCGACAAGAGCTCCACTGGCTTGCCGTCGGGTGTGGTCGCCGAAAGGGCGTAAGTCGTCGCTTTTCCATAGCCGTAGACTAAAACGTACAGCACGCAGTCCTCTCCGCGTTCAAACTTCGGAGCACACCTGTTTTTATCGGAAAAGCCGGTGATGAAAATTGCATCCGATCCGTACCTCGAACTGGCAAAAGTGTGGTGCTGGCGCGAAACGCTCTTCGTAAAGCCAGCGTAGAGGTCGGCATCACCCGAGAACACTACCAAAGAAAGCACTATGTGGCGGCGGTGCTTTGTCCCAGCAGGCGGTGGCCCAATCGTCAACGCGTATTTGATAACCTCCTTTTTTTCGATGGAGCCCCGTATCGCAGGTTGATCAGGCAGCAGCTCGTTGAAAACGTCTTCCTTGAAAGAACGAACCTGCAAACGGTAGCGAACGCCTCCAGCTGCGCCCCCGCTAGAAGATGAAGATGCAGAATCGCCCAAACTATTCCCTTGATGCAGCTTTGGAAAGACACCAACGACGTAATACGCTCCCTTGTTTTTCTGATACTGGCTGTCTTGCGGCTTGATCACAAGCGTCTCCGCAAGAGGGTCACCGCCAGGATCCGCTTTGTTCTTGAGGGTCGTGCGCCAGGGACTCGTGCCTAAACTAGGAAGCTTTGCCACACTGCTTTGACTAACTGATGCCGAGGCTGCGCCACCGGGAGCAAACTCGCTGGGCGCTACCTCGACTGCAATTGTTAGACCCCTCAGAAGAAGAAGAAGAAGAAGAAGAAGAAAAAACTGTTGTGATTCTGACACAGGATGTCGTAACACGAGTGGTCACATTGCGGCAAGATCAATTTTCTTAGCAGGGCATCCCTCATTTCCTGAACCATATGACGAATCCAAATGGATTCAAAAGTCAATGTTGAAAGCAGAAGTCAAAGTCATGTAAAATATTTCCTAAGATTGGTAGCGGCGGATCAGTCGCTAACAACACAGATTCACTCTGCGTCCCGTCAACGAAAAAGGCTGAAAATTCGGGTTCGCCAGCTGGTAATGTCAAGAAGCCCGATTTGGATTCTCCAACCGCCACAATGGGCAAGTCAGACCAGAACTCCGGTTTCGTCGCGTCTGCCTTCTGGCCAGACGTTGAGCTGCTCACGCCAGACGACGCCTCTCCCTTTCTGACGACAACCAGTCGAAACTGTGCATGCTGCGGCCCTTTTGCGCGTACTCGGATCTGGAATACTCTCCGTTTACTCGGTTTCTTGGCCCCGACCGCCAAAGAAGATGAATCAGATGTCAGAGAGGAGCTGGTAATCTCCGCAGTCTCGAACACACTATCCACTTTAGTCGCTAAAGTCTTTTTTCGACTGCTCAACTCGGTACTTGCGGAACTTGACGAGTCTTCGTCTTCTTCGGTACTCGTCTCATCGTTTTCCTTCGTCAGTTCCGTGATGGTCATTTGCGGTGTGCCATGTAGGGGAACGAGTTCAAATTGCAGTTTGCACGACGTACCAGCGATGTCAGATGCAAACAGCTCGAAAGAGAGCTTTACGTCGGCTCCTCCTGCGTCCACATGACCCCAAAACGGCTCTTTCAATGTCAACGGGTGCCACTCAGATCCCGATGCAGACATCGTCACCGTGAAATCCGTACGACCTTGTGTTTGCGTACTGCTAGAGCTCGAGCTGCTACTCGAACTCGTTCCTTCAGAAGAAGCACTTGTTCCTTTACCCGGCGTGGCAAGAAGAGCGTACCAACATTGCGGACATGGGTTTGGTATCAAAGCGTGAACGGGACCACTCACCGTATCTGCAGCTTTAATCGTGGTCACGCAGGTTGCGACACTCACATTGCGGCCAGTAGGCGAGAGCCCAGACCAATCCATGTTCTCCTTAGTAACAGCAGCGCTTTTGGACTCATCACCTTCCCGAAGACCGCGGCGGCGCTTTGCTCTGGGTGAGACAGTGGTCGTCGTAGATGTTCCTTCTGCTTCATCGGCACCGTCCCCAGAACTCGAGGATGCGGCCTTTGCAGCTTTTCCAGTTGACGGGTTTGCTTCTGAATTCGGAGTCGTGCCTGCACCAAACGGACTTTTCTCTGCGCAATTATGAGGATCGGTTCCGCATTTGGTGATGCAAATGTCAACGCCGGCACCGGGGACTGCGCCTCCATTTGAAGATTTACTTACGGATGTATCAGACGACGACGGCGGACGCAGCCGATCCGCGGAAACCACGACCTCTATATACTTCCGGTCCAGCATGTTGAAGAATAGCGTATGAGATGTTTTTCCTTGACGCACGCTCAATCGCTGCGGCATTCCCAGATACAATTCGCTCCACATGGGAGTGGGGCCCAGCGCCTGGTCCGCCTTGCCCTCATCGCTGGTAGGATCAACATGCGGGTCCAGAATAGCCATCAAGGAATAGGTACTCGACGTCGTCCCATACACTCCAATCGTGAAGTTTCCCGGTTTATCTAATCCAGCGCGCAGGCGCTTTGGATCGTTCGCCAAGATTAGAGGATGCTTCGTGACCAGAACTGATAAAACCAAAGTTAAGGTGGAGGCCGAACACCATGGTATTAAATAGGCATTATACGTCAAGGAAGTCTGAAGAGAATCAGATTACAAATTTCACTCTTCTTCCATACAAGCAAGTTATCCATGTCATCATCAATAATGCGACATGGTGGACGTCAACTTCAATAATGTCCATGTCCATCTATGTATCACGATAGACAATAAACCTAGTACAAGCCTTAAAAGTATGTAAAGACTTTCACCTCCCGGATGATGTTCTTCCCACATCGCATTCCCTGGTCGCGGCTTCTTATTGAGTCCAGCATCACACACTAGTGTCGGATCGCCGGTAACTGGAGTGACGTAGACGGACACATCTAGGTTTGGCCTGGTAACTTCCAGCGTGTAGTACTTCGTCTGCCGTTTCGAGACAAGGTCCCACACGGGTGCGTGCGGCGTTAGCTTCACTGGTCCATCGTTTAGCTGGACACTGAGGACGAAAGGCACTGGGTCCTTCAGCTTCTTCTTCAAAACCGAGAAATAAACGGACTTCTTATCGAGCACAGGAACGTTGACGACTTCTCCTCCAAACCAGCCTGGCTGAGCACGGTAACTGTAAGTATTTAAGGAGGAGAAACAAAAAGAATAATGGGTAGTTTTTGGGCGCAGGTTGCTAGTAAGGTAAAAAAAAAGATGTTTATTGGATCTACCAAATGGAGCCCCCTCGTCCTGCCCTTGCCCTCGGGCTCGGGGTCACCTCATATCTAAACAATGTGCAATACATCAACAACGACCCACATAGGAAAACGAAAATGTTGTACGTAAGTACATAGGGACCCAGTCCCAGTTCTCCAGGGTCTAAAAAATAGTTGAGTACTTCCCGAAACTCGTTTTTGTACTGCCAATTTCGTTGTCGTTCACCAGGAGTTTGAGCCCGCCATGCTGTACTGCAATAGCATCTCTAGGATAGAGGCTCACAGTGAGATGCGCACCGCTGCCAGTATCTTTCGGGACATTATACACAAAATTTTGCGAAACTCCAAGATAGGCCACACCGGATCTTGTTCCGACGATTTCATCCGTAAAACTTTGAGCCGTAATCGATACGTGATATTTGCAGGAGGACGATCTCGAAGATGACGACGTGAGATCACGGAGGTCTTCAGAAAATGATGATCGTTGATGTTCTCCCAAACTTCTTCGCGGTGACGTTGTGCTAGGGGAGGACGATGAGGATCCTGAGCTGGAAAGCAGGGAGCCGAAACCCAAGGGGCTGAAAAAGCTTGAGAAGCCGCTGCATCTTACATGCACGTAGTACTGCTTATACCCAGCCTCCTCTGCGACGCCTCTGGGCAGTCGCAAAACGTCTCCCCCAAAGTCCATTGCTCGTTGCACAAAGCGGCACGATGAAGATGATGAGAGCGTACTGGAAGTAGAAGAGTTTGCAACTTCTCCACTGGTATCTGAGCCTGAAGATATGGTTTGTCCGTAAATACTGACGTCTGGGTCTGCAAACTGCGATAGTGGTGTGACAATGATTGACAAATCCACACTTTTTACAGCCTTCACTGCCCAGACGCCGTCTCCAGTATGCTCTTCGGTGTGCTTGTTCGTAGCGACATCCAAAACTTCAACCGACTCTCCACCGTAAGTATCCGGACACCAATTTATCTTCGTCGTCAAACTCCTCGTTGCAGTTAGAGACGATGAGGAAGATGCTAAGCGTCTTGTTGATTTTCCATCCTTTTGTTCCTCGTCCTCGCTGGCACTATCAGACGTCATCTCTTCCTCCTCGGCCGTAGCATGATCGCCATGTCGCTTCACGTCCTGCGCCAGCATCTCTAAGCTTTCAACAATCTCAAGATTCTGATTCTCTTCTTCGTCCATTTCATCTGCATTCTTGTCCTCCAGTCTCGCTTTCGCCTGGTCTCCGTGGCGTTCCTCTGCCTCCTCATCGGGCCAAGCGCTATCCTCTTCAGTTGGACTATCTTCGTCCTCCTGAACATTCTTGACAAGCGTTTTAACCCCTGTCAGCAGGTGGAGGTCTGCACGTTCTATTCTCAAACCACCGGTGGTTCTTGCACTTCTTCTTGTGGGTTCTTCGCGAGAAGATAAAGGCAACTCTTGCTCGTGCTTCTGTGCTCTGATAACATGTTCTCCTGGAACTTCCTCATCCTCACCTCCACCATGGTTTCCACTCCAAATTATCGTGGATGATTCGTCCTTTGTGGCGCCGGCTACGCTTGTCGTATTTGTCAGCAGTGCCGATCTGATGGAGACGAGCCAGCGGCCCATTCCAAGCCATAGGAAAGGAATGCACTTCAAACTTCGCGGATACGTCAACGCACGTTGATTCACCCCAAGAGCCTGCCTTGTAAATTTTGTCACTACTGCTCTTTTTAGAGAAACTTTTTCTCATCTATTTCTTATCAAACAAAATCACGTAAGAAGACAAACATCTTCAACATGACCAACAAGTAAGAAGCAAGCAAGTAGAACAGTCGTGGAGATGAAAGTTACAACGATAATGAAAGCAATGACCCCTAGCCATAGCATCTTCTTTCGAGGGGATTCGGTAGGGGCTTGTCGTGTACCACGGATAGGGCCACAACTCGTGTTCCTTCGTGGCATCGTGTTTGGCAGTTTCTGCCTCGTGCAACATAAGTTGCTGCCTCTTTGTCTGGCACAGCTGTGGTCGGAACACCTCAATGTCTCCTTCCCTCGATGCCTTCGCATCTTCAGACTCGGAGGACTGCGATGCGCGTTTTGCCGCTTCGTTTTTGTCGACATGATCATCTTGTTCCGAAGATGTGGGAGAACTGCTAGTCGTGGGATTCGTAGATGATGAAAGCGACGAGCTGCTCGAGCCACTGCCAGGATTTCTTTCAGCGTCGTCTTTCTCTTCGTGCTTTATCTTTGCGGGAATAGCCAGAACACCTTGCTGTTGATTGATTGTTGTCTGATCGTGTGTTCTTCCCTCTTCGTCCTTTACAACGTCGATGTCCGGGAGATCAACATTCAGCGCAGTAGTGCTTCTTGCTTGATCCTTTTTCAATAGAGTTGGCTCGGTCCCCTTTTCCCCTGCTTCCCCTACCTTTCTATTTGCGTTTGGAATAATATTCTCGACAGTATTCGAATTTCGGACTTCGAAGGCTCCCCGTTTAGGTGCGGCTTGATGATCTTCAGGTCTCGATGACGACACGGTTTTCCGAACAACAGGAACGTCAAACCGTAACCAATCGGGATGCAGATGCCGCGATCTGGGCAATATCCCCGAATGAACGAGCGCGAAGTCCGCGTCTACGTTCCACCAAATGCCTAGAAGAAATCCCGCTGCTATGTAGCAGGAAATCTCAAGCATTAGCATAAGCCCCAGGCTCATCTTGTTTCTTCGGTTGCAGTAGCAAGGCCAAATAAAGCTGCTTCATTATGAAATTGCAAATGGCCATTGAAAAAATCGTTACTTGGTTGATGAGAATTGGAAAAGTAGAAAATCGGATCGTAGGTAGAGTAAGCTCGGGTTTTACAGTTACAACAACTGCGACGAGACGGGAGTCGTGTTTGATGATCCAGAAAGAGCAATTTACTAGTACTAATTCGGGAGCACGATCGATGACGGTGCTACGCAACACGAGTTCACGAACTAGTAAAAGAATACTTCACACAAGTAGCAAATGCCAGGACCACTCTCCCGAGGTTTGCATTTGCACTTGCTACCATAATATCAACAGGGTGGCTGGTGTCAGACCACTAGAGAGGCCTCATAATTGACACTGGTCTGGAATCTAACAACGTTCTTGTTCTTCTACTTGCACTTTGTAATTATAATCACCTGCTCACTCTGGTGGGGTCTTGTTCATCATCCTCATCCTGATCTACTCGGAAGTAACCATGCTATGTCTTCCAACAGAAGACCCAGATCTTTTCAGTGTTGAGCTTGAGCGGCGAGACGAGTCTTTCAGCATGTGATAGCTTTTCCGAACCATGATCTGCTCGTTGGAACTTGCATGAAAACTACGAGAAAAACACTTACATACTGCTCAACGTTTGAGGCATTGCTTCCGCTCGTGGATGCGTTGTTTTTGCTCCTCACCCGTGACGAGTGAGTTACTCACGTTGAATTCGACGCAGACGTCAATATAACTCAACAGAGAATGTATAAGCAGCACGTGATCAACACCGATTTCGATCGATGCTGGGTTTTGTATTATATATGGTTTTGTATTATATATCATAATATATTAATAAAAATTCATAATCTTCATCTATGGAAGGAAAAACGGCACCTGGAGGGGCCGAGACACGGAGAGTCGATGGATCTGAGATTCTGGCCTCCTGGAGCAGCCCTCAGGAGCAAAGGGATCCTCGTGGACTAGTTTCACTAGCTAGTAAACTAGAACTACCCCAATTAATAAACTAGGTAATTAACCTACCTCAAGAGAAAAATGCGATTTTTGAAAGTGAGTGCCGTTTTTCCTTCCATATCATCAAAAGGTATCATATTTCTATTTTTATATTCCATCCTAAGGCTAAGTCCGAACCTACTCTGATGACCATTTCTCTTGTTTGTTTGTATTGATGCGCTCCGGGCAACGCGTACGATCACGCCGGATTTCTCTGTGCTTCCTGTGTGTGGTGCTATGGTCGCCGCTTGGGCTATGGTGTGCCAGCCTTGCTGTGCGCGCGTTGTCTCCTCGTCGCCGCCAACTAGGGTGTGTCGGGCTATGCAGGTGGCGGCGCATGTAATCATGTGGGTAGCGGCTGACGCAGGCAGCGGTGTAGCGCGGTCGGGTTACCTGGTGGCCGCTGCTTTCTCGGTCGCCTCCTTTCAGCCAACGTCTTTCGGGGTGGGTCTGCTTAGCGTTCGAACTTGCGTGCTTCGTTCGTCGTTCTTCGTGCTTTCGTCTTGTCTTCGTTCTCTTTGTCGTCACGTTTAGATTTGTCCCCTCCCCTTGTTCTATCTTCACCACCGCCTAGCTCGGCCACGCGCCACCGCAGCAGGCAGCGACGGTTTTACCGCAGGGCCTGCTACTCCTCTTCCTCTGTTTCATTAGTGGAGGCGTGGCGGCTGCGCTAGCAAGAACGCGCCGCCGACTTGGGTCGTGGCTAGGTCGCGCAGGTACGGGGTTAGCAGCTTCGGACTGGCCGCAGCCGCCCCCACATTCGCCGGAACCCCGTGAATCCTTGCTAGCATTTGGAGCGCAGAACACTTTAGCAGGTGCGTCGTTCTTGCCGCAAGACCATCGATCTTCTTCTGTACAGAAACTATGCCATAAAGCTCGACCAGCATCATCATGAATATAATAGAGTAGTTGTATGCATATTTATAACGAACTTCAACTTCATTTAAATACGGTATGAAATACGAATACCACTCATAAGCCTAGCCCCTATCGTATCTATTTTTGCATTTGCAATGCCAGTAAGTAAAAGAACTGCAAACATCGAAATCATGCGATAAACAAATGCACGCGGCGATGTTCTTGTAGTTGGGAAGATAGTTACTCCAATCTTCTACGAACCACTCAAGCGTGTCTACCAAGGCTTGTAATATTCCTCACACATCAAAGATGTATCGTTTGATGTAGACCACTCAATTATGCTTCAATCATCTGTCGATGATCGGCTGTAATAGTACTAGGAGCTACTTGTTCCAGTGCTGTATCATTATACCAGTAACTCCGTGGCAGTAGTCCTGCTTTAGAACCACTAGTAACTCCTCATCACTTGCTTCTAGTTTTACGAGGAGCACAACCCTGCCCTTCTACAAAAATTTAGGAAATGTCAAATCAAAAAGAACAACACACCTCAACATTGGTAGTTGTCAATACTACTCACCAGAGTAAATATTTCGATACTAATACCGTACACGTACTGCTACTGCTAGATATTCAAAATAAGCACCACAACACGTACTACTTAGTCCTCACTTACCCCCACCCATGAATCATGACACCTGTTTAGTGCCCATGTCCCGCATGCGCACCTCCTCCGTCGCCAGAGCAGTGTTCGTGCTTCACAAGGGCAATCGCGATCGCCGCAGCACCCAGGACGAAGAGCAACAGGGGTTTGAAGCCGCCACTTCTTGCTGTCGGTCCTACAAAGGCACGGCCCGAACACTCAACTGCCGCAATGTAGGTATAAACGCCACCACCCAACAAAATGATGAGCCCGATCGTCAGTTTGTCGTAGTCATTGTCTAAGGCGACAGTTCCACCGAACATGACACCCAGTCCTGACACGATTAGGAAAGGATTGGGGGAGTCGTGAAGAACAAAATATAATCAAGGGTCCTTCTGCATCTATCCCAGTGCACTACAGGATCATCAGTATATATAACGTCTCATCTTTTTGTAAGTGCAACTGACTCCTGGCTTAGCGCTTATCGGACGCATGCTTCACTTAAGAAATCTCCACACGAGAAAGGACAACAAAGGAAACATTGCTCAAATTGCCATAAAGCAGAATTGAGGCCCAGTGCGGTCAAAGGCGAAAGCTTCCCCACTGGACCGGTCAAAAGGAGGTAATCCGCACCTTCTTGAGCGATTTCGTGTAGCACGGCACCAAGTGCGACGATCCATCCACGGTGAGAACTGCAGGACAAAAACGCGGCTCCGATGAAAATGCCATCCGCTATGTTATGGAAAAAGTCCCCGACTAAGACGGACACCAGCAACGACCGGCGCTCGAAGGAAAATTCGAAGAAGATGTGGTTGGGACACTCATGTTGGAGTAAGGAGGACATTTGACATTCAAAATCTCTTTGCGAACTATATTGAGATGAACTATCTTCAAGTGCGAGTAAGTAGGAGTAACAGATTCTAGAAATAGCTCCGGTGCCTGGAAGAATGAATCATGAGAAAAAGAAGCTTCAACAGTTTACAGTAACTGTACCATGCTAGAAAGATGCATCAAGGACAGAAAGTCTTTAGAGAGAATCTGTCACCTCGTCGTAAGGTGTCACGACAGCTGATTTGTCTGCCGCATTTTTGTAGGCTTCGCCTTGTTCGCAGATCAATTGACCGAATGCGATGCACACCGGAGTGAACAAAAATCCAGCCAGGATCGCTGTACCCCACAAAAAAACGACGGTGCTTTTGCTCACGTCTCCATGGTAGGCTTTGGATGCTCCTTCCTGCAGCAAGTGCGTGGCTTCGAACAGCATGAAATATGCGGCAGCCGCTAAGAGCGCACCTCCTGCAAAGGCAGACGTTGCGCGGATCCAAGAATTATGCCGCTCTTCTAGCGCTTATTTAAACGCTGTTTCATTAGCCGCATCTTCACCCAACCTCCTTCGGGAACACATCTTGAGACGAGGCAGTCATTGCATCCTTGCAGCACACAGCAGACACCACGATCACCAAAACACCCATTAGACCGACAAAGTTGACGATGGCGCAGGCAAGGAGCATCTCTCCCCATGGCTTATGGTCGTGTTCGTCGTGATGATCTGCAGTGGCAGCATGCGCGTGACCATGACCGGTATGACCGTGGCCCGCATGTCCGCCATGGCCAGTTCCATGCCCGTGTCCTGCATACGATTCCGCAACCCCAGCATGGAGAACGTGCTCCGGAGCAACCTTGCTGCCACTTGCGTCCAGCAGAGTCATCGCAGAACTGAGGTTTTTCGTTGAAGAAAATGCCACAACATGCGTGCTCGCAGCGAAATCAAGGCGGAAGAGACGAAACGGAAGAGTAAGGGCCTCCTCTTTTTCGTGCGCTGAGTGATTGCCGCTTTCCTCATGCGCAGCCTCCAAGAGCAAGCGGTAGGCACACGTGGCATTCGAAGACATGGTGGCCGAGTCTAAAGCAGATTCCTCGGTGCCACCAAGTGCCAATGACGTGATGTTGCGCACGCATCCGTGTCCCTCAGCACCTTCTTCCAGCAGGTGTTCAGCCAATGCTCCTTCGGGTGAAGTCGTTGTTTCAAGGGCAGTCTCTGCTGCAGACTCGCTTGCCGCACCAAACACGGTAATCAATGGCGCTTTCATTTCACCATGATGATCGGACGTCGTGGCCACCGTGACCCGCGGCGCCATGATCATCTTCGTCTGCTTGCACAGTAGCGTTTAGCTGTTTGACATCTAACCAGAGAAAGTACTTGTTGGCGGCTGGAGTGCTCTCGTACACACCGCCCCACTGTAGAGTTGCGTTACTGTGGCTGTCGTGATGGTCGTTCCCGCTACTGTAGGCTTCTAGCACTAAAGACGGATGCGAAGAGCTTTCAACATCTTGCAGACAATCAAAAGTCGGAACGATGCGACTTCTCCTTGAACTAACAGATGATCTTCACCAGAGGTGGTACTTCCCAGCGAATGTGATGGATTGCGATTAGATGAAGAATGTGGTTGTGGTCATTCACATCATTCAGGAATTAGAAGGCTTTTTGCGTTATTTCAAAATTCTTTGTGACTAAGCATAGAGGTGTAACCATTTGCTGATAAAATGACCTCACAATGCAATGGGAAAAGTGACACTGAAATTGGATTCGCATGCATGGATGTCATTTCCGCTCCGCGAGAAGGCGTCGTAGAATCTCTTGATCATGCGTGTGACTTCTGCTGCGTGAGCTCATGGCGGTGCTATCGCTCAGATTGTCAGGTTTCTCGGAAGAAGTTTGGCAGAACGATAGATCTGCACACTCATAGAAGCTGCTGTTACAAATCTCAATAGAACACGCTAACGCCAATCTCAATGGTGCAAAACATCAAAAGACGAGGGTCATTTACCTCGACACTCCTGCAATGACCTCAGAAACCGGCATGACAATAAATATAAAGTTATGCTCGCGGCGCACACAGGAGCAGCTTTCTCAACGTTTGTTGTCAAAATTTCGAACTAGTCGCATTGGCTGCTGTAGTTGCCACTTCTTCTAGCCTGTACACGTCGTGTCTTCGCTGCATGCCTACGGGTATGCCGGCTCTTGCCTCCGCTACCTCATTCATATCCAAATCGAAAACTATTCTGCCTGGTTTCTCATCTAGTTCCGCGAGAATCTCACCCCAAGGTGACACTATCATGGAATGCCCCCACGCCTGATATCCCTTTGGATTCGCGGTGTCGCGTGCTGGCGAACACGCGAGGACGTAACACTGCGTATCGATCGCTCGTGCGCGCATCACTAGCGACCAATGTTTCGGCCCGGTTACGGTGTTAAATGCCGCTGGTACACACAGCACTTGTGCGCCTCTTTTGCGGGCAAGCAATGACAGCTCTGGGAAGCGGAGATCATAGCAGATCAAAAGCCCAGCTTGCAACAAATTCAGATACTGTTCTCGCTTATCATCACCACTCTCGCTGTTTGCCGAAGTAGATTGCTGTATTCCAAACGTGGTTACTTCGGTGCCACCAGTGAGCGTTTCTGATTCCTTGAATGTGATTTTCCCTGGAATATCAATGTCGAAAAGGTGCACTTTTCTGTGTTTCGCCACAATGCTTCCATCAACCGGCGAAAGCACTACGCTAGAATTGTAGATTCTTCCTGCCTCATCGCGTTCCGGGATGGATCCAGCGACAATTGTAACAGAGTGCTCCTTGGCTAGCACCGACAAACCCGATAGGGAAGACTTTAAAATGTTCTTCTGTAGTTGTTCACCTTTACCTTTTTCTGGTGCTTCAACATCTGGTAATTCTGCTTGTTTTGGTGGTAAGGCTGAACTACAACTGGTTGCACTAGGTATAGTCCCAACATCTCCGATCATTTCCGCGTATGCCGGGAAACCACTCGCGACGTACGGTCCGTTCCAAACCTCAGGGAGAAGCACTAAGTCAAGCTTTTTGCTTCTATCACGGTCTTGTTCTCCAAGGACTGCCTGGACCGCCTCCTCGGCATTGCCTTGATTACTACCATCAGCGTAACCAGTCGGAGAAACCGGAAGCTGCAGCAGAGCCACTCTGAGAGAACTGCTTGACATTGAGGTCACGCTCGAGGATGAGGTTGTAGCTAGAAGACTTCTCGTACTCGTTGTTGTTGTTGACAGAAAACGAAGTAAGGCCGAGAAAGAGAAGCGAAGCGTTTGTGCAGATGCAACAACCTGTGTCACTGCCCGCGTTGAACATGGACGGGAGGGCAATCCGCTAATCCGAATCAGGGCTGCACCTGCATACGTTGAGCATCTGCAACAAATACTCGGAAATAAGCCAAGGCACCCTTGATGTCCTCGAAGATGAGTATGCATCGATGTCGGATCAAGGATAGCGCAACCGAGCACCAGTACGATAACCCACACATCACCACCGAAACTTGTAATTGACGAGATTAAGGTTAAGATTAAGAGATTTCTGGCTTGCGACAGGCAGCGGCCAGGGCTCCAGAAGTCTGGGCTCAGAAAACATCAGTGCATTTCACACACATCAAGAAAAAGACAAATGGGGAACGATCCTACTCACAGAAGAAAAAAAATAAAGAATCTTGTAGCAGGCATGCAACCATCTCACGCGCTCTGCGACTATTCTCAGTCGAAACAAGTAGATTTTCCTCGATCTTCCAGTCACTGCTGCCTTCTCTGCGATCGCCATGTGCTGATATTCAGATAAAGTTCATTAGGCTCCACCAGAGTATGCTGCTAATTGACAACGATGGTGAGACACGATAACCTTTTTGGATTTGGATTCGCATTTGGTTTTGGAGACTTCAGAAGAAAAATTTCTTATTATTTTCTTATTTGTTATTTTTTTCTACCCACCGATTGACGCGCGGCACGTTTCACAAGCGACAGACAATTGGAAGCCTCAAAATGGAACCTATCAGTTAGATTCCTCTGCAGCATCGTCGAGATTGTCACTCCTCGTCACAGAACATCAGGCGGACTGCGAGCTGTAGTTAAAAAAATGCACACAACATCGCTGCGTCGTTAATGTAGTGCTGACTACTTGATGAGCATGTTGAATAGCATCTCCTCGGAGACAGACTTCCGTGGTCTTTATTTTGCTTCATTTCATCATCATTTGAGTCCTCGTGTACAGATACATCAAGAAATCATCTGGTGTAAGAACTAAAAAAGTATTCAATGTTAGGTTTAATAGCATTATCCATAGCGTCTTCGAGCTCGATCCTTTCGTTTTGCGCGTCATGAATATGAGGACTACCCAAATGTTGTCCATACAGTACTGTGGTGTTCCGATCATTTTGCATCTGGATCTGGTGCCTCCAACTCCTCACAACTAACAAGTCATGTATGAAGAGGCTGCTGACAACTACTGATCCAACATCTCTACGAAACTACTTATACATCAAGTAGGAAGAACTCATTTTTAACAGGTTATATTCGTTTACAAATTCAAATTTGGTACTTATGTTGATCAAGATCATCTATTTTCTATTCAAAATTTACTCTTTCTCTGATGTGGTCTCCACCTGAATCCTAATATCATTCACAATTCTTCATCAGAACAAGGGTCCGTCTCGAAAACATGGAAATCAACTACTCTTCATCTAAGTACTTTCCCTCCGAGTAACTCACTCAGGCACCGGGCACCACCGTCGCGATGAGTCTTTGACTACCCAATGCGCTTTCTAGCCCACGTCCCCTTTCCGTAGGGCGTTGGACTTTGAGCTTCGCTTTCTCGAGGTCATGGAGAAACTTCTCAACGCGTGCATCCGATTGCCGTACTAAGCGCTCGACGATAACTGAAAATTTCTTATTTCGTTCCTTGATCGCACCTTCATGGAGGACAGTGAAGTAACTGCTTCGTCGCCTCGTGTACCTTTCGTGTTCCTCTGGCAGCTCTCCGTCTCCACCTGCTAGTTGTCCCTGCTGGATGTAACCAGTAGTAGTTGTGCCACTCCTTCTAACACTAGCGGCATTGTCCATCAACATGTTGCCTGCAAAGCTGCCAGGAGTACCTCTAGTTGTACCGTCATCGTCCGCAGTTGCCGGAATTGTGAAGGACAACGTTTTCACCAGAACTGAATCTTTTTCCTTTGACGATGCGCGCTTGAAGATGTCGCTCCCGGATTCATTGTTTCCTGCTCCGTTAGACGAACTGTTTTCTCCACGACCCTCTTCGTCGACTGCTTTTAAGGAGGACAACATTGTAGCCTGGTCTCCTGGTGGCCACTGGGATTTTAAATGGGATGGCACCACAGACGGAACCGCTAAGGAACTTCTACTCCGTGACTTGGGCCGAAAGTCATTAGTATTATTGTTCGTTGCCGGTCCTGCTCCGCCGGTTAATACAGATGACGTAGACATCATCATACTACGTGGTGAACCCAACGGACTCGATGCCGCAGCTCTTTCCGTCAGCTGTCTCTGTGCTTGCGAGCTCATCACTTTAGATTGGGTTTTGAGACCACTGTTCTTGTCATCCTCTGCTGCCAAAATATTCGCATTTAGCTGTGCTGTCGACTCAAGACGCTGACTACCTGCTACAGGGAAAGTTGTTTCGCGCTCTTGTGATTCGCGTAGCATTGAACTTGTCCGTCGATTTTCAGCGGCCGTAGGACTGCGCACTGGCGACCTGTCGACCACAACGAAAACTCCAGAATCGGGCTCATCTAGAGTGCAGTCCGCCGAAGGAGGAGGCCCAGCGGGGACATCCCCATAGTCAAAAGGATCCTCCTTGAGGGCTGACGTCATGGAACGTTGAAAACGAAAGGAGCCTTTGGCGGACGACTTTCTAGTACTACCTCCTCCAGTAGAGGTCGTGGGCGAATCCGCTGCAGCTGGTGTAGAGACATCCTGTAGCGATCTCATCGATAACAAGGCAGCTGGCGACGAAGGAGCTTCGGTCGGCGCACCCGTAGAGATCGACACGGTAGTTATGATGCTGCCACGGTCTCGCACTGGTAGTTGTAGTTGACCAGGTGAAGTTTCTAAAGAAGTGGAACGCTCCGCAACTGCACCTTTAATATTGATGACAGGTTCAGCCCCACTTGCTGTCTGTTCTGCGCCTCGAGGAGCGATAGCGGAAATGCTAGACCCAACACTGATCCCCTGAATTGCAGCTGCACTTCCAGTTGTTGGAGGAGATGGCTCTCCGGGTCGTTCTTTTACATCAGGAGGATGAAAAGCAAATGGGTCTCCGTCTGCATCAGGCGCATTTCCATTTTTTGATGTTGCTCCGAAACCAAAGGATTTCCTGGTCAAGTCCAGATCCCGCTGAAGACCACCTCCTGCTACCGAGGCCGAGTTTCTTGTTGATGTTGGCTTAGACGGATCATTTGTAGGACTAGGAGCTGCCACTTCATTTTCAGGAGGAGCATCTTCATCATTTGGACCAGTGCCAAACGAAAAGGATGTCTTTCTAGTTTCATTTGCTGGTCGTGGACTCGACATCGACTGCTCCGCTTCTTGTCTCTCTTGTGTAACAGCAGCAGGAGAAGGAGGAGGCATCTCGTCGACCACGACAGGAGCTGGAGGCCCCAGGACAGTATCCACTTTTGCTGGTGTTTCTTTCGTGGGAGCCTCATCCATCGCAGATGGCTCCGGTGGTGCAGTTTCATCTGGTTCAGGTGGAGATGCCTTATCGTCATCAGCCGGTGGTGCGGAAGCATTCGTTGAAGCTGCTGCAGGAGCTGGTACGAAAGTGCCGTATTGTTTCAGTGCGTCTTGCAAAACGCCCTGTATCGGTGCATCCCCATTAGGGTTTTCGGCCAAATACTGTTCCTCTGTCACTTTTTCCAAGCGAGAAGGAAACATCTTGAGGTTCTGGCCTTTAGGGCGTAGCTGAATCTTGTGTTTTCCTTCCGGATCCAGTGGCGTCATTACCACGGCCATATTGTGGTTGAAATGTGGTAGCTTCTCCAACTTAACTGTACGCACATGATCGCCGATCTGGAAGTTTTTTTGTGAGTAGACCACGGAAGTAGATCTTGAAGATGCAGTACAACTAGACCACGAGAACGAGAATAGATGACATGTATAATTCATCTTCAGAAAGATCAAAATCAATGGACTTAATTTCATCTAAAAAGCATTACCGTGAACCCAGGAGTTCCTTTCTTGTCAGGAACAGCTGGCGGCGGTTCGTACCTTCCTTGTGGCTTGGTCGATTCGCCTGCGCCGGATCCTTTACCTGCAGCCGCAGGACCTTTCACAGCACCTGGACCCTTCTCCATAGTTTTCCAAGTATGAAGGTCAACCGTATTGGGGACGACAAAAAAGAATCTTCAAGTTCAAAGCTCAAACAGAAATAAAAAGAACAGGAAGAAAGACAAAAAGAAAATTATGACCGTCTGTAGTTTACAAGATCAAGAATTGACGTCCGAAAGACATTATCATGGGCACGTGGAAGATTCATACATGAGTAAACCACAAGAATTGGAAAGAAAAAATTCGCCTCGTCTAGTGCGGGTTCATCAGAAAGCGATAAGAAACTGTAGAAATAGAAAGTTCATTTGATTATGGTTTTCAATCTAAATCTATCTTCTATCATGTTTCAGTTTCATGATGGAAAATAGGAATACTTTTGAAACGCAACTTACCAACAATCAACCACAACCTCCATTTCGAAGACACAGTACAACACTCCAAGACAGATCAGCAGCATCACACAACAACAGATGTTAAGCGACGTACCTCGACGCAAAACGCAGATTGTCAATCGCGCGACGTCTTTTCTAGACCATGAAAACGCATTATATCAACTCGTAACAGATCTGGCTCGGCCACGACAGCGACAGACGGAACAAGTTGTTTGAGTTAGAGCTTGAAAGTTGACCGCTCTAGCTCGCACATCTATGACTTTCCTACTTGCAGCAACCATACAGATGCTCATTGAGATGCCAACGTCCAAGCCTTAATTGGGGCCCACTGCAGAAGATACCAGTTGTAGAAGTACCTACCAGTAGACAATTATGACTCATAGTCAGGCTCTCACCCTACATCTCTCTTTCTTCAGATCTTCCGTTAGCTCCATTTTTTGAAGATCAAGGGAAACACAGTCAAGCAGGCTCGCGCTCGTCGCACACAAACGCACACCACCGACAGTCAGAGTCATAGACTGTTGCGACTTGTTTTATCGTTCCAAGTAGTTATTAAGCAATGTGAGATTCTTGCACGACCAAAGATTTATGTAAGAAGGGTTTTTTGGTGACGGCTTATCTTGTGTCCTCGCCTACCTCTACTAATATTCTATAAAATTCCCAATATTTCTTCATCTATTGATGGTTTCTGCCTGGTCCTGTACAAGAAATGTTTAGTTATCAACAAGGGATAAGGACGTCGATCGGTGACCACACGATCATCGTATTGGCATTCACTTTCTCCGACGTCGCTCCTCGAGTTTTCATGCGGGAGAAACTTCACACGAGACGACATTAGTGGCGCTGTCTACAATGAGCAGCTTATTAGAGGAAAAGTGAAGCTGCCACCTTATCCTAGTAGTGTGAACAGGTATAGAAAGAGGATACTCATCCGTCGAAGTTGTATTACGGAGCAAACTCTAGCCCAACAGAAAATATAATACGATTTTGGAATTTTAACATCGTTTCGGTTTCCCTTGTGATAGCAAAGACAAACTTCTACTACAACATCCAGGAGATCGAGGATGAAAATCGTAACTACAACTTGTGATTTCCGTAACGTCCTTTCTTGTCACGATCTTCAGCGACGTCGTGGTGGGCGTCGTCGTAGAGTAAGTATCTATATTAAGTAATTTGTTCTTTCTAAATATGATTTTTCTCATATGAATTTGAATAAACATTAACTATGTTCTGATCCCTACACATACACTCATATTAAACAAGCAGGAAGTAAAAGAATATGACAATGTGTGGCGCTGTCGCGGACACGACTCTGCTCCCGTCGCAAACCTACTGTTATTTCGCCGCGCCAGTTCTTCTCGATATTGAAGTTTGTACTTCTATTATCAGAATCAGTCGTTGTGGTGGTACTCAACATGCATAAACACAATATTTTTTGCATTAGTTGTCTTGGCAATTGTAGTTGTCATCAAATTAAATCATGATCTACATCTACTTCTTGTACTTGAACTGACAACACCCAGGGACAAGTAGGTGCGGGAAGCATCATTCACAATAAGACTCTTATAAGAGCAACGGCAAGGAGTACCACGTCGAGGTCGATCATACGGAAAAACAAAGATAACATATTCATAATATTTTTCTTTTTGAATTACAAGGCGATAGTAAAAGAAGATAAGTCGGTTTAGATTGAAATTGAAACTCACAGCAGAAGTGTCCAGTCTTCGTCCGTCTTCGTCATCTACAACCTTTAAATAGTATTAGTCCTCAACTCGTACAAGAACAAGATATTTTGGAAATATCCTTGTCCTTTGCGACCGTCGTACTCGTATCAAATGAATCATCCTTATCGTTCAATAAAAGGCCGAGGACGCCCTTCATGCTTGTTAATAAGGAGTGATCGTTATCGATGCCGATGCGAAGCCACAAGTACGAGGAGGTAAGATGATTGCGAGGACAAGCAAGACGGCACGTGAACGGCAGGATCGGCCAGGATTGTTATATTACACAAAGTTTTCAGCCTAATCAATGCTGAAGCAGTCCTCAACACATGCGTCACATGGTCACATAGTATCGACGCAGACTTTGGGTCTGCGTAGATGGTATGTGATCACCATCAAGAGCCATCTCGACAAGGGCAAAGCTGCTGGTGGTATTTTTTCTCCTAGTTTGGCAGCTCTTAGGACCAAGGACATAAAAAGTACGGGCGGGAGGCGACGTGCCAATCGATGTACCTTTATTGTGAACTGCACTGGACGATAAGTAAGGCAAAAGTCGGAAGGGAAATCAATCGTCCTTCTCCCATGGTATCCTTCTCACGCGTTTATTTCATCGTGTTGGTCTTCAATTTGTGTTAGTGTACAACCGCAATGCCCCAGCAACTAAAAGTAGGGTCATGTATGTTGTTGCTGACAACTACAAAACTTCCATTATCAATACCATAAGCCTGCAATATCAGTAGACTCTGACTCATATTTGAATTTGTACATCATTTAGTACATCCGAAGAGCTGCACCACTAAACTTCCTACGAAAACATCGTCATCAGTCAACTGTGTGTCTAAATCTAATTGCTCTGATTTTCTTCGTTCTTTCTGTGACTGTGTAACTGTGACAACTAACTATTTTTTGTATCTTGTTCGAGCTAATAATATTAAGAGCAATAAAACTTTGCAAACACATCCCTTCGGAAACCTCAACCTCCAACACCCAAACCCAAAACCTCCAACACCCGAACCCAAAACCTCCGACACAAAAACAAACAAACCCCAAACC